GAGGACTCAGATTTATAGAAACCCATCCCACCCCCTTTTAAGAGCAGAAATGGAGGTGAGTATATTCTACGCAGAGGGTACACCATGAGCAAAGGCACAGAAGGAGGACATAACACATCAGCTCCCGTTTATTGAGCCCCTGCCGTGTGGCCGGCACCCCGCTGGCCTCACTGCACATCTCGCTTAGTCCTGTACAAGCTGGGAGGGAGGCCTTGCTCACTTTGTCTTAAAAGTGAGGAAATGAGGCTCAGAGACTTCAAAAGGAACCTGTGTAATGCCTCCCAGCTCCCAAGCCGCACAGTCAGGATTAAAATCCAGGGTTAACGTATTAACAGACGGCTGTGCAGAGCAGCTTTATTCCCAACCCCGAACCGGAAACAACCCAAATGTCCACTAATAAGAATGGATAAATGTGGTGGAGTCACGCAACGCAATACAACTCATTTATAAGAAAAGAACTACCGAAACAACAACATGGACGAATCTGAAAAAAGTTAGACACAGAGTATGAACTGTACGACTCCATTTACAGGAAGTTTGAAGAACAGGCCACCTGAATGTACGTGATAGAAATAAGAGACTGGCTGCTGAGGGGACGGGCTGGTTGGAGTAGAGCACCCAGGGCGCTCATGCCATGTGTTCCTGAGGGGTCTGAATTTTGTATAATGAGCATGCATTATTTCTGTAAACCCCAAAACAATAAAGACACTTACAAACAGGATTCTCAGTTTACAACATTCAACACAGTCCAGTTCAGCAGCACTTACTGCACCTAACGATGGGCCCCAGGCTGGGTGGAGGCAGCTTCTGTATAGCAGAAGAGCAGAGGATGTGCAGGCAGGGAGATGACCTGCTGTGTGGCGTTGGGAAAATCACCTAACTTCTCTGAGCCTCACTCTCCTCTTTTTACAACAAAGATGTGACTGTAACTGTGACATGCAAATGAAGGAACATACGCGGAGGTTCTTGGCTTCTGATCGTCACTGGGTACTGTCTCACACAATCCCTGAACAGCCCCATAGCGTGGGCGCCGTGAACATCTCCATTTTACAGAGGAGGAAACTGAGGCTCCAAGATGGACTGGAAAGTTCAGGTCACACTGAGAGCACATGGTGGAGCAAAGATGCAAACCCTGCCCGTCGGAGTCCAGGTCAGAAGTCCCCACCCCAGTCCTGCCTGCCCTCTGGTGTCCAGATGGGGGTGTCACTGTCCAGACCACCTGACACTCATCTTCGTGGCTTATGTATCCGTCACTTGTCTCTCCCACTAGAAGGTCAGCCCCATGCGGGCAGGGACTTTGTTTCACTCACTGTCATATCCCAGGAACGAGAACTGTGCCCGGCACCGAGCAGGTACCTCATGATCCTTGAGTGACTCGGTGAAAAAAGGGAAGAATTCCCTAGTAAAGATCCAAAGAAAGTGGCCCGGGGCTCGTGGAGGTAAAGCATCACCCCTTCAAGGTCACGGAGTCGAGCAGGCCCCGGGCAAGTCCCTCGTTCCCACTCAGCCCTGCCTCTCCCAAACCCAACACCCCTGTCCCCGGCTGCCGGAGACCACGGGAATAGCTCAGTCTGGTGCAGGGAAGGGTCGGGACAAAAGTGAAGGTGGCTCCATCTGTTCCTGGCTAGCCTTCTGCCCACAGTGCTGCCTGTGCCTCAGTTTCTCAGTCTGGAACGCGGGCACCTGCTGCTGGGCTGACACGAGGTGACAGGATTCAGGAGGAACACGTGGAGCTGGTCCTTCATGTCCTCCTCCCTCAGGGGCCGGGGCCGGCCTGAGGCGCCCCAGGTGCACCAGTCACACGTACACTCGGGTCGAGGGGACCGGGCGGGGTTGTGAGGAGGCACCTCCCACACAGAGCCACAGGGCCAGGGCTGGAGGCCGCTTGTCCTCTGACACCATCACCGTAGGCTGGACGAGAATCAGAGGCCCTGAGCAGGGAAGGGACACGACTTGGGACATACAGGAATCAGTGGTGGGCCCAGGCGGTACAAGAACCTGCGTGTGGCCTCCCAGCTCAGGACTCTCCTCTCCCTGAGCACAGGCGACACCAGGAACAGGCTCCGTCTGCTACTCGTGGGTCTCGGTCCCCATTCCAGCGTCCTGGCCAAGGGGAACCAAGAGTCCACAAGGCTGAGATTGACAGACAGGCCAGGCAGGGCCACCGGCGGCCCTGGCCACAGCCGTGACCTCCCAGCACAGGCACTGCCAGTCAGGAGCCGGGCAACTAAAGCATCTGCTCGGACACAGACGTCTGACCACGGGCGGGAGGCCTGCGAGAGGCCCACGGCCTCTGGGTCCTACTGGCTGCCACTGACGGTCGGCAGCCCGGCAGGCACCAGCTCTGGCTTCCCAGGAGCCAGATGTGGCTGCCAGGAGAGCTGGAGCTGGAGGCAACGGGTGTGGGAGCCTGGGCGTGGGCGCTGGTGCCACAGCGACTCTGCTATTAGACTCCATGGCGGCTCAGGGGCCGCCGACCCACAGAGGCCTGGGGCCCGGGCCTCCAAACCAGGTCAGAATCCTGGCAGGTGTCTAACCCCCACATCAGCCCAGGTAATTACCAGTTAAAACCAGTGTAACCGACAGAGCTCTGCGAGGGCAATGAGGCCATCAGAATGAAGCAGGCCCTCTGACAGCCGGCTGGGCCGCCCGCAGCCCGGGCTTCCACGAGCAGAGATCTGCTCGTGACTCTCACAGCGTCACAGGCCTCAGCTCTTAATGAAACGCGCAGAGATGGCGCGGGAAGAAGCTGGGGTTTGGCATCCACAGCCTGGATGATGCCAGGGAGGTGCTCTGTGGCCCTGGGGTGAACATTTAACCTCTCTGAGCCCATGAAATGAGGCTGGTGAAACTGCTTCACCCGTCGTTGCATGGATGAAATGGGGAATTATAAAGCTATGGACCTTCAAATGCTAACGTTTAGTCTAAAATAGGTAGACACACCTTTGGTTGGCTTTTAAAATTTGTTCCTGGGTTTCTCATGTGTATGAGACACGTGGGGACATTCCTGTCACATCCACACCTAAGCCGGGCGGCAGCTGGGAGGGATGGGGTCAGCAGTGACCAGGGCCAGGTTCACCCTACGAGAGGGGCTGATTTCTGCTCCTCCCCCTCTATCAACCAAACGCACAACAACCCCGAGGATGCATCGATCACTAGGATCCCCATTTTACAAGGAGGGACCTGAGGCTCAGAGAGGGGGAGGGACTTGCCTAAGATCACACAGCAGAGGCAGGAAAGGGACCAGGTCCACCTGAGCAAAGGGCACTGCTTGATTCCAGCAGCAGCTCCCACCGAGGCTGTGCACGCCCTGACCCAGGAGACGCTGAGGGAAGCAGGACACGGGCTGGGCGGTGACTCACTCTAATGGATGGCTCCCCTGGGGACATTCCCGGGGTGACTGCATCCGCAGCTCTTCTTGGTCCTGAGCCCAGGTCAGCTTGTCCCAAGGACAGAGCTCCAGCCTCAGGTCCACATATGGTCTTCTCTGTCCCGAGTCCCCACCCTGCCTCTAGCCAGGAAGGTGGCATCCAGAACCCACCGGCCCAATTGCTGTGCCGGGCACTGGGCTCTCAGCAGAGGTTGACAGTGGCCTCCTGCTGCTCATTCCCCCAGCTCAGCCCACCACCAGCTCTGGGGTGGGGGACAGAGGCTTCCTTGCCTGTCCCCTCTTCCCACAACAGAATACGAAGCAAAAGGCTGAGATCCCACAGAACCCGGTGCTGCTTGGTCCCTAGGTTCCTCCACCCAAACCCCTCTGAAATCTCTCTCTGCTCCGAGAACCACCCACTGACAGCAGAAACGTTGCCACCTTGAGCACTGGATGGCGGGCCAAACAGTCTGAGCCTGTTCTGGCCACAGAACGGCTGTGCTATCCTGGGCATGTCACTGCCTCTCTGAGCCTCACTGTCCTCATCTGAGAGAGGGGCAAATATCATGGCTGGTAACAGGGTTCTTGGGAGGATTAAGGGCGATGCTGTAGGTGAAGGGGGCTGGTGGTCTTGCAAGGGTCCTCTCCCTCCTCTCGGGCCCACAGCTCTCCCCACCGCAGGCTGAGCTGTAGTCCTTGGGTCCCCAGGTCCGGGCTGGTGTCTGCCCCAGCCCAGCACCTGCCCCTGCCCCTCCCTAGCCACAGGGAGCAGGCAAAGCGGATAGCGGACAAACACTCATGACAGTAGATTAAAGAGAGTTTGGTGATGGAAAAGGTTTCTTTGAGAACTTTAAGGGTAAATGGCTCCGAGATTTGGCGTAAAATTTCTGCAGAGGAAAAGCCGGGCTTTGCCTGGGAGAATGAAGAGGGTCCAGGCTGCCCAGTGGGTCATTCCACAGGCCAAGCCATGTCCCAAGCACGGGCCCAGGGTGACAAGATCACAGAGCCTGCCCCACTGAGCTCAGAGTCACCTCCTTGCCCACTGGCTCCCTGACAGCCACACCCCCACCCACGGCTCTGGGGCCCTGGCCCGGGGAGGAGGCTGCTGTGGACCCAGGACACCGGTTCTCATCTCAGCTCTGGTCACTCTGATGATGTGACCAGGCTCTTCCACACTGAACTTTGCCCCTGTCTTCACCGCTGCGCTTATCACAGGGACAGCATCACAACCTCTGTTCACTCATCTGTCTGCCCAGGACCAGCCCGTCCTCCTAGACTGCCCAGGGCCACCCGACACAACATGATTCCTACGCTTGCGTGTGTTGGGAGGCGGGTGGAGGTTCATGGCCCTGACTCACATTCCTGCGTCTGCCCCTGCCCTTCCCGCAGGGCCCCGACCTCCACACCCCTTAGCCTGCCCCGCCCTGACCCTGCGGGGCCCTGTCCACGACACGGTCACGCCCGGCTCACGGCCCGGGCGCGCCCTGCCCAGGTCATCCACACTCCCCTGCAGCCCGCGTCCCTCCCCCGGGGCCCGATGGGCGCGGACACAGCCCGCCGTCCCGCACGCGTGCTGGGCGGAGGTCGGGCGTCACCGCCGGGCCCCTCCGCCCCCCGGGCCCGCGCTCACCCATGTTCACGAAGCTCATGACCAGGTCGGCGTGGCCCAGGCGCCGCTCGGGGGGCCCGCCGTCCTCGGCGTCGTCGCCAGCCATGGCGTGGTAGAGGTCCAGCATGAAGAGCGGCGCGGACGCGGGCGGCCGGGCGGCGGCGGGCGGCGTGCGGGGCCGGGGCCGCCCGGGCAGCCCGAGCACCGCCAGGATCTCGCGCTGCAGGTCGCGGCGCTCGCGCGGGCCCAGGCGGCGCGGCGGGCAGCCGGGCGGGGGGCGCGGGCCGGGGCCGCCGCCGCCCAGCGCGCACAGCGCCAGGCCCAGGAGCCAGAGCGGGCTGGGGCGCGCGGCCATGGCGGGCCGGACGGCGGCAATCACCGGGCGCGCATCCGCCCCGCGGCCGCCCGGCCGGGCCCCGACGGCGAGCGCCGCCCTAGAGCGCCCCCCGCGCCGCACCTGGCGCGCTCCAGCCGAGGGGACCCGGGACTGTCGGCGAGTCCGGCGTCGCCGAGGCCGGCTCAGCGCAGGGGCGGCGGGCGAGCTGCCGTCGGGCTCGCGGAGCGCGGATGCCCCAGCTCCTCCCGGGCGGCCCCGCCGTCTGGGCCGCCGCCCCTGTGCTCCCGCGCGGCCGCCGGGTGCCGCCCCCTCCGGGCCGACCAATGGGGCGCAGGGGCGGGGCCAAGGCCGCGGAACCCACGCCCCGGGAAGGGGCTCTGGGGTGCGGTTGGTGTGGCAGGAGGTGGCTACCTCGAGATGCGGCCCGCTAGTGGGCGATGCGCCCGTCGGGTGAGGGGTCCGCAGCCCAGCCGTCAGGGGCCTCAGGGTCATCCTGGGCTCCGCTCCCTGCCGCTGGCCGCGCCGTCCTGCAGGCTGGGGGCCTCGGCCTAGGGACCCCAGGGCAGCAGCGCTGTCCGGGGAAATCAGGAACCTGGCTCCCGCGGGGCGGGTCCGGGCGCCCTCGCCTGGGCGGGGATCCCGAGTTTCGGCCCGGCCAGCGGAGGGACCCGACAGCCCCGCCTTGGTGCTCAGACTGTCGCCCAAGAACCCGAAACGCCTCAGCCGGGTCTATAGGTAGAGGGGCCCCGCGGGTGCTGGCCATGTCCCGAGAGTGGGACGCGTTCCTCTGCCAGCAGCAGCCGGGCCCGCGTTCCCCGCCACCGCGGCCTCTCGGCGCCTTCCCCGCTGTCCCCTTGCGCCGTTGTTGGGGGCTTCTCCTTTCCGGACACCTGCTCGGTCGCTGCTCCCGGCGCGCCCACCCACCTGGCTCCCGCGTGCTCCCGGGCTGCGCCCACGCGGGCCGCCCCAGCTGTTCCTGCGGCTGCGCGGTCCCCGCCAGCTCTCGCTGTGCGCCCCGGGGAACCCGGTGCCGATTCAGCCCGGCGCGGAAGACGCGCACCCGCCTCCGGCCGTCCCAGGAGCTCTGGGGCCCTCGCCAGCGTCCAGGAAGCGCCTTTGAGCGTCTAAGTTGTCACAGCCCTCAGCGGCCTACAGAGAGACGGCTCCTCAGGGAAACTCCTCGGTGGACCAGCCCTTCCGCACAGCCTGCACTTCCCGAGGCGCGCTCTCACTGCGTCTATTCGCTTACGGTTAAGGCGCTGCGCTGGGAGGCGGTGACACCTAGACCGAGCTGGGAAGACTAGAAGGAATTGGCCTGGGAGGACAGGGAAGGTCAGTGGGAGGAAAGTGTTCCAGGTAGAGGAAACAGCTTGTGTCAAGGCCCTGAGATTCGAGGGAGCATAACAACGGCAGGTAACAAATAACGCTTACGGTGTGCCAGGCACGTTCTGCATCAAGCTTTCATGCACACACATTGTATAGAGTGGATGCCATTTAAGTCCCCTCTGTTAACAGGCGCGGAGACTGAGGCGCACAGAGGTTAAGGGGCTTCCCCGAGGTCACACAACAGTGGAGCTGGGCTGGGGCAGGTGGCCACGTGCAGGTGAGCTGTTCAGTGGAGCCTGGGGTGTGTGTGTGGGGGGGGGGGGGAGCAAAAGGGGAGGGTGAGGCTGAGGCTTGGAGGGGCTGGCAAGGGACAGACCACAAGGGGCCTTGCAGGGAGGCTGGATGAGGGCTCTGGACTCCAGGCAGTTATGGGCCCCTATGTAGTTTCAAGCCTAAACTTCAAAATGAATGTATGATGTCCAATAAAATTCACTTTCCCATGATCACTTCAAACTTCTAAAAAATATCAAAACAAATCTAAACAATCATTTGCTGCTGCCTTAAGCCCTTGCCTAGTCTGCCTTGTACCCAACAGGTCAATTTCCACAGTGCTTGGAATTGGAAATTAACCTGGCTAAGCATGCTGCAGCTTAGCCATTGAATGTGCCCAGGGCGAGACCAGAGCCTGGATGCAGAGGGGACCATGGACTGGAGAGAGACTGGAGTCAGGGCCACAGTTGGACACAGTCGCAGTAACGAGAGGGCAGAGAGGGAGACAGTGGCCAGGGTGGAGGGCAGAGGAGAAGGCTGTTATGAGGCTGAATCCACAGGGCTTGGTGACTGCATGTGGAGGCAGGGAGCAGAGTCAAGGGGGTGTCCTTGACTGTTAGGCTTGGTCTGGGTCTCTGAATCTCCTGCACCCTTCACTGTCCTTCTCTGTGCCACTGGGCATTCCTCTGCACTCCCCTTTGAGTCCACACTATCATTTGGGGCCTCAGATCTAGTCTGTAATTCTCAGGGTGTGCATCATGCAACACTGGGCTCCCAGCTAGACTGCAAGCAGCCCAGTGCTGGGCTGATTCTTGTAACAGCAGAAATCATTTCACTCAGTTTAGGGCAAGTGGAGATAGCTGTGTTCTTTAAACAATGGGCCTCACATTCCCATAAACCTAAACATTGGGTTTTAGCCATTCCAAAGGGCGTCACCCCACGATTCGATTCAGCAACAACCCCTGGGCTGCTCTGTGCTGTGGCCTGAGTCAGAGATGAAGCCAGCCAGCTCCCTGCCCCGAGCGGCCCCCACTCTAACAGGGGTGACAGTCAGGTGAACCTGAGTCATTCCCGAAGGCAGAGTGAAGGCTGTTCTTTGACAGAGGGGCGGGCAAAGTGCCTGGAAGGGAAGAGGGAGCAGAGGCGGCGATGTGTGCGTAGAATCCTAGAACTCCACAGCTGCAAGGGAACTGAGGTGGGGAAGCTTTCTTGCAGAAAGTGGTGTCAAACAAGGGCTTTCCCCAGCCACCTGGCAACACTGTGACCTTGGGCAAGTCACTTAACCTCTCTCAGGCGCAGTTTCTCATCTGTAAATGGGGCTCACAATTGTAGGACAGTGATGGGGATTAAAGGAGCAAGCATCTAGAGCACTTAGCATGGTGACTGGCATACACTAAGCTCTCATTAATGCTAGCGATTGTCCTTCAAGGCCTCAGGAACTCGCATTCATGCTCTATCCCAGCAGACACTAAATCTGCATTGCTTGTTCAGCACTTGTATCACAGAACTGTAATTTTATTTTAACCCTTTTCCTGCCATCCCTTTATTTCCCACATGGTTTTGCATACAGGTGTTTGTTGAATGCAAATATACTGTCTGCAGATTCCACCACTAGCTGAGCTTTGTTGCAAAGACTGAAGGAAAATTTGAATGACTTGGTAAGAAAAACAAGTGACCATGGTCCAGACTCTGAAAAGATGGCTGTCAAGCTGTTTTCAGCATGCTTCTGCAGCCAGGAGACCTAAAGGGAGAAGCAAATTTGGGCAAAAACCACTATACTACACAAAATTCTGGCATCTTAAAGTTCCTCAGTTCCACGGAGAATAAACACTTCCTTCAGGATCTATCAGCCTGCACATTTCTTTTAATCTGGATATTTGGCCTCAAACAGCTTTGGCAAACATGTGTCCGTCTTACCAACCTCCCATATCACAAGAGTATTGCCTCTGATCAAGAATACAGGCGGCTGAGCTTGAACCCTCTTCCCTCTCAAGTTCTCTAGTTATTTCCCAGTCTAATGCCTGTTGTTGGAATTAGTTGATTTTTGGCTGTTCTAATTATTATAAAGCCAACTAAGGGCTGGGGCAAACAAAACTGCCAGACTTGAATAGGGAGTCAAGGATGAGATTTGAGGTCCACTTTGCCATTTATTCGTTCTGTGATCCAAGCAAATCACTTTCTCCTCCTTTTTCCCATTCCAGTTTCTCCATCTGTAGAATAAAGGAGCTAGATTTGATGACCAATTTTGCTTCTACCTCTGAAATTCTATTCTGTCATTTAACCAGAAATTTCAGTGCACTGTGGGAAATTGGCCCCATTCTCTCAAACCCCAGGATCTCTGTGATTTCTAATCTTTTTACATATTGGTATTTGCTTAATCACATAAGTGGGGCAGATACCCTACAGATTTATGTTAACGATAGCCTGATTATTTCTTTGTTCCCTTGTTAAATAAAATTAATGAGGATAAAACAAACAAGAAAAAAATCTATTAATGAGCTCCATAATTTATCCATCAAGATATTCTCGTTTGAATAATGCATCAAAAGAATCATACCCCAGAGTAACATGTTATATATAAGGTAAATGGTTGAGAATAAAAATCAGGAAATACAAAATGTTTGTTACTGCAAGCAATTTTAATACAAAAGTGTGTCTTGTTTTTAAACAGTTCATTGGTAGAGCTTTAGTTTCTGCCTCAATTAAAACCAATTGAGATAATCACACAGCAACATGGTCGGAGCTGAAGAGGAAGAGCAGCTAAAAAACAGGAGCCCCAGACAGCCCCTCTTCATGGTCACTTGGTCAGTTAATTTTATTACGCACAAAAAAAGACGGAAGCAAACGGGACTTGTTAACAAGTGTGCTGGTGAACTCCTTTAAAGGATGAGTAAGTGTTTATGTCCACATTTTCAGAATAGGCTCGTGGAATTCATTCCTCAGTTTGTGGGAAGTTGATCGACCATTTAAATAAATAGCAAAGAATGCAGATAAACAAATCTATAACTCACAATGCCACCAAGGAGTCTCCCTCTGCCAAGGGCCTGGGTCCTGGTGAGCACAGGAGTTATTGGCGGCTGGGCTGGATAGGAAGTTATAAACCAGGACTCTTAAAACTCCAATGTTCTGACGTTTTCTGAACAGTTACATTTACCCCTGAATTCTAGCAGCTATTTGTCCTTTAAACACCCAGTACTGAAACAGTATTCAAAGATAGTATTGCAATAAACTCCTTTTGCTGTATCATGTGCAAACGTTACCTAGATGAGGTTCCCTCCCCTCAGCTAAAACCACACAACATTAAAAACAATGGACAAAGCAACTAGAACAGCCCTCCCCTCAGTTCTTGCTAATTGAGGTGTCTGTGATTTACAAAAAAAGAGTTCCTTAAACACTGCAGGATTCTTATTTTTTGTTTAATATAATTTCTCTTGCTGAGACAGCAAGTCAAGTTTATAAAGAAGATGCATTTAGGAATAATCCTAAAAGATAAAGCAGGTTTACAACCCTGCACCGCGCAGAAACCCTATTTAGAGGCTTGTCTTTTCTTTCTTCTTTTTGTTTTTTAAATACACATTTGCATCTTGACCTTTTCACTTGTTTTTCTCAAATATTTCATTTCTGGGCCCCATCCATTACAGGGTTACCAGGAGGCAAATTTTATCTACATAAATATTCACATGAAAATAGTAACTTACAAAAAGAAAAAAAATAAGGCAGCTTCATAACACAATTATTCTTTTACACTTTTAACAATATAACTTCTCCCGTTCAGAATAAATATACACCCAACGTATGGAGCAGGATTCAAGGTGGACAGAGGCTTGGGGTGCTTGTACAGTGTTATCGCTTGGGACCCGGAGTCCTGGGGGAGGCAGTGGTGGTCTTCTTAGACATGGTTGGGATTTTGGAGGGCTTGTTTAGCCCTCTCCTGGAGTTGCCCTGGCCCCCTGCGGCGCTGCTTTCTGAAGTGTCTGAACAAGCAGACTGTGTCTCTAAAAGGTCAAAGTCAGAGGCGTCGCTTCCTCGTCGGCTGCTGGCTCGACTCCCAGCCCGACTCCCGGCCCGACTCCCAGGGCGACTGGCTGACTTTTTAGGGTCTGGAATTCAAGAATAAAGCAGCAGACTTAATAGAGACAGCATGGATGGGGAGGGAGAACAAGTGACTAGAGGCCAGGGTTCTAATCCTAATACCACCTGATATGCTGTGTGACGTTGGGCAAATCAGAGCCTTTCTGAACCCTGGTCGTCCCATCTACCCAGAAGTTGCTGAAACCTTTTATGGCTTTGTGATTCTGCTTGAGAAGCTTGGCTCTGAGGATCAGAAACTAGCTTTTATCCACAGCACGTTACCTCATATGCCCCCACAGCAGAGCCGTGCGAGGCTGTTCGATCACCTTGGCACAAATGAGAGCCTGCCAGCTGGGGTAATGTGTGAGCAGACTGAGAATGGGGGCGAAGTGATAGGAAACAGGGAGCCAGGAAATGAAGCCAAATCCCTAGGTCCCCACAAGGAACATCAACAGGTGAACAGATGCCATCCTCCTCTGACTTTCTCGGCTCACCAGCAGCAATAATAAATATGGGGCGTTGGAAAAATTACTAGCAAAGGGCCAGTCCCAACACTGGGCTTCTGAGGAAGGTCCTGCTTCAGAAGGCCCTTTCTGAAGCACCTGCTCTCAGGAGGCAAGATTAGAGCTGGCTGTAGTGACAGAGAAAAGTAAAGCAGGTCTGTCATTCTGGGCACCACACCTAAGGCTACTCTCCTGACATGTCCCTGGGAGGGGGCCGTGAACCGTTGCTGAGAGGCTGCTGCTTCCAAATTCCTAGCCTGGTCACCCGTCCTCACCCTGTCCCAGCGCACAGGCACGAGGGCAGACACTCACCTGCTCGATTTGTTTTGGCGCCTGTGGAGGCGGGGGAGGAGCTGTTGCTAGTATCACCAGCAAGCGATGTCCGACTAGAATGAAAAGTTGGTGTCGGTCGCTTCAACTTGCTGCCTGTTGATGGAATAACCTTAAAAGGATAAAAAGGTCATATTTACTTGGTGAAATCTTGGATGGAAGTTCAATTTTAAAATTTGATTTTAAAATTTAAAGTTCAATTTTGAGCCTCCTTATGTCTAATTGATCGAAAAGCAAATTAAAAGTCCAGGAAAGCAAAGATTTAATTTGAAAGTGTCCTAGGTCATGTATTTGGATGATTTCCAAAATAAAGGTTTCATGTTCATTTAAAATTTCAAAATATCTTCCAATACCTTCTATCTTAATGACAAATTTCCACTAGAATGGGAAAAAACTCCTCAAATAGTGAGATTATAATAGTTTAACAAACAGAAATATGATGAATGAGTAAAGGAAAAAAATTTCAAATAACCCCAAGTATCCAAGTTTTGAGGCTAGACGTTTGAAATATGAGTTCTAGCCACAAATATTTAATATGGAAATACAAATGTTACTCCAACCTCTATTACTAGGTAGGTGCAGTAACTTCAGTCAAGTTAAGATCTTCACTCTACTTCCTCATTGGCAAATGCAGATACAATTACTCGACTTGTGGATCAAATAAATGGTTAGTAGAAGTACACAAGAGTGGGACTGTGGGATCAGGAATGAGGCTCTGAATGGGGAGCCAAAAGACCCTGGCTGGGGTCGGGGCTCTGTGACTTATCTAAATTAACACCTGTGTCATTATTTCTCCCTGAGGAAAGCAGGGACAGACCCTGCCTCTCCAACTTCATTTCTACCGCACTCCCTCTCTTTCATCCATCCAGCCAGGCTGGCCTCCTTGCTGCCCCGCCGTCAGCCCCGGGAGGCTCCCTGTTTGTTGTCTGTCCTCCTGCATTGAAGGGTAAACTCCATAAAAGCAGGGCTTTGTTTTGTTCACTGTCACATCCTCAGCACCTAAAGCAGTGTCTGGTACAGAAAAGGGGCTCAATAAAAACTTGTTGAATGAATAAATCATGAGCAGAAGCACTTCCTAGACTGGAAAAGAGCTGGGTGGATGTGATTATCACTGCTACTGGTAGGAGCCACATCTCCTATTTGAGTGGTTTTTTGAAGATAGTGGTACACTTAATTTGGAGAAAGAATATTTTAGATCTGTTTTAGACATCACTCATGCCACAGCAGGTGCTTCTAATTTTTCTGTGAAATCAACTGTGTAAATTGTTTTCCAGGACCTTTAAGATGTTTATACAGATAGAAGAATAAAGCAACCGATTTCATTGTGTTTCTTGTGCTTCTTTAACTTATAAAGAAAAAGCAAAAGCGACAGGAAGTGATTAACATTCAAGCACAAACCCTCCTGGCCCACACAGGAGGAAGAGCACCAGTTTCAGACGCTGTTGTGAGCACTGCTGCTGGGGAGCCCACAGCCCCAGGGACCCTGGGCTGGAGTCCACGTCAGGACACGGCCTGTAGAACACCAACAGGTAAGGAAAGATGAAACCTCAAAATGAAATGAAACGAAAGGTAAAACCCTAAGACAAAACAAAGGCTGATCTAGCAGAATCCTATGAGAATTTGCACTTCATAATTAAAACATTGAAAATTTTAGAACTTTTGAGACTTTCATGAAACTGGAGCCATCAAGGAAGAGGAAATCAAGACAAGCAGGTTGAGTCTTGGGGTCTTAGTGGCAGTAGGTCCCCAGATCACGTTCAAATCAGACAGATTCCTGAACTGGTTTTAGTGTGGAGCGGGACGAACCCCAAAGCAGCAGCCCATTCACAGGCATTGGCTTCTTGTCCCCGCTGCTTCCTCTGGCTGAGGCTTTACAGGATTGAAGACAACGCTCTCTTTTGAGGCATAAGAATCCAATGGCTCCCAGAAGGAGCTGGAATGCAAATTGTACTGCTACTGACAAGCCGCTAAGCCCATGTTTTGTTTCTGAAACACTGCTCTTCCAAAAGTGCTTGGGCATTATAATGACTGCACTTGAACATGCTTAATTGCTAGCATGTGTATTCAAATCAAGGCTGTACACACCCAAGTGCCTAGGCCAAGAGATTCAGAAGCTAAAATCTGAGCCTCAGAGCAGTGTTCACTGATTCTGTGCTTGGCTGGAGTAAATAGCACCCACACCTCAGACCAGTGTGGAGATACCAACCGCCGCTGGGATGTGGCTCAGGGCGGGGAGCACCAACCACTCTTCTGTTCTAAGCAAAGAGGGACTGTTGAACATGCACCATAGTCGAATTTCAAGTGTTCGTAACTCGTCTGCGTATCTGACATTTGGAGACTCCAAGAGGCCTGATTATAAGCAATATCAATAAACAAATCACCAAGAATAACCATTGTTTATCATCCTGAACAAATATCATTCTAAAGACTGTTAGAAAGTTGTTAAAGAATCCAGTTTAGGCATCTCTTATTTATCTCCAATTTTGGTGAATCCGAGTTAGAAACTCCTGAAAAACACTTGACTAGATGAATCAGCTGTGAGAGCAAGCACCACAAAGACGGATAAGAGCATGGATTCGTGTCAGGAAGAATAGCTGGTCAAGTTCTTGGCATTAGCGAGGGCCTCGCCTTGATTGTGTCCTTAGTCAGCAAAGCCATACTCTACCTCAGGGCTGAGCAGCTGGAGGTCAGGATAATGGCTGTCCCTGACAGGGGCGCCAGCTTTACTGTTTACCAACCAGGGTTTGTCATAACAGCGAGAGAACTGAAGTGGAGTCTGTGAAACGGAAATCCAAAGGGAAGGACGGGAACAATTGAAAATGGAACAGAAAGGGAGCAAATTTGGAACAAAAAAATAAATAGAAGACACTAAATTTTAAAGAAACAGAAAACAAAATAAAATGCATATCAGTCCAACGGGATGAAAGGGACCAGGCTGAAAGGCAACAGCATTCTTTGTACATCACCCATCATAACAGCAAATTTCTCTGTTAGCTCCAGCTGCACAGATAGTGCCCGGATTTTCAAAATTAGTAACTCTGAATGGGCTCACACTCAAACTGGGAACATGTGGAAAGAAGCGTTTCTGACTTAATGACCTGAGTTCACATTTTAACAAATGTCCTCTGTAGTCATCTGAAAGGTTCTGTATCTGTGTACCACTAGGGCCTGGTCAGCCTCGCCTAGGTAGAGCTTGGTCTGTATGTCTTCACATTGCTCTCCTCACTGGAGTCTTTCAGAGGCTACACTGAACAATGATTATCTGCAAAGATGGGAACAGGGAAGAAGGGCATAATGGAGATCAGTACGTACCTTGGTACCACTGGCTGGGGTGGCTGGAGAAGATGGCATGGACGTACAGCTGTGGTTACTCTGACTAGCACTAGAGCTGGAGCGAGTAGGGGAGGCTGCCCGGGAAGATGGTTTGGACCTTCGACCCCGTGATCGGAAAGGGGTCATCCCCTGGGATGCCCCTTCAGGTAGGATGAATTTCTCTCTAAGTTCGATGTTAGTTCTACCTCGTGCTAAAAAGGGAATAACCACACATATATACAATGTCAGTTAATCTTAAAAAATATTACCTTTGATGGTCATACAGCTGCTTGACCCCATGATAACAGTTATATAAGTTATAGGTTTAGTACCATCTGTCGATTCTTTTAAAATAGAGATAAATTCATGATCTATCAGCCTTGTCAAGATTCTTACCTATTGCAAACACATTTAATAAGCCCCTAGGTTTGCTAGAATAAAGAAATGTTTGTATACAAAGTACCATCCCGCTCTATCGTCATGATCTTGCCTTGCCACTGTCCCCTGGGGTAAGCACACTGTAGCTGGTCAAACAAAAGCAGATGCAGCAATTCAAAAACCTCTGAGGTTAAATAAAAACCCTTCTTTTCTCTCTCATAGTACATGTGTACTGTTGCTCAACTTTTGCAGGATACGTGGTAATGAAATAGTGGAGAAAAACAGATCCCTGAAATTGACATTGTCTAGACTCTTCTATGTGAATTTAGTCAATAACAATCCTAAAGAAAGGGGTCCAGGAACTCAGTATGTAAAAAGATCAGGATAGAATCACTAAGAAGTAAACATGTGGGAGGAGAGAGAGAGAAAGATCAAGATCATGCACAAAACTTGCCAGTGAGAAACTGTTAAGTCAAAAACTGGAAGCGATGAGAAGCTGAAGGGAAGATGGCAAGTGGGAAAGGAATGGTAAGGGGGAAAGAATCTGGAAATAGCACTGAAGGCCAACAGTGCTGTCCCATGGCCTTCTGGAACTGTCAGACCAGAACTTAAAATTTGGATTCGGTCAGAAGATACCAAGTACAGCCAAAACAAATGTTAAATGTGAAAGATACTACTAAATAATTCCTCTGGAATATGTTCTTAGATTTTTTCTCACTGAAAGGTGTTATCCTGCAACAACCTTCTACCACCTCATTCATCCTAAACTGTTCACTTTTTAGAATGTACTAGATAAATCTAGACAAATGGGACTGCTGGCGAAGCCTGGGAGAAGGGAACCATTATAAACAAAATATTTGTCGTTCTTTTCTATTTTAGATTTTTTATTTTAGCCAGAAACTACAAGTGTAGAGGATTTCAGGTAATTGTGCTACTCTCTGTTCTGCTTAACCCCACACATCCTCAAGGAATTTGAGGAATCTTGGTAGAAACAGATTTTAAATCAGGTTGTTATGAGTGTCCAAGCAGTGTGGTTCCAAATTCCTAATCAAATCCAAATTCTTCTCAATTTATTATGTTGACACAACAAAGTATCAGGTTAAAGGGCTAACTTGGATATCAAACGCTCTGACTCACAGTCCAGACTGCCCCAACCAGGTCTTCCTGCTCTGGGCCTGTTTCTTCAGGCTCACTAGAGGTGACCAGACTGACAGATCTCTCAGAGTCCTCCTTGTCCAGATGGTCTACGATTTAATGCTCCCTGGAATGCTAAGCTGTTTCCTTCCTCCTCGGGCCCCAAGAGAACTTGCCCCTTAAGGGTCATTCCTTGGCCTCTACTTATCCGTTTTCTGGACTTAAGCACTTCCCTCGTGTCTACTAAATGATTCTTAGAGAGTTTCCTTCAGCACTAACTTGGGTATTTCAGTAAGACTTCGCATCATAAAAAACTATGGAATCAGAACTTAGCTATCTTGTGTTTGTTAAAGTACCCAGCACAATGGTGGACATACAGTAAGTACCAAGATAACACTGATCAGTGAAAAATCATTACTCAGCTGAGGATTCAGACACCAGAATTGTTTAAAGAACTTTAGATGTGTGGTTTAAACCTAGTAAACATTAATAGTTTACTTCTGAGCCAACTCTCCCAGAAAAAAAACAACAAAGTGACAGAAGAGAAAGACTCAGAAATGGATCTCAGATGAGGGCAATGACATTTTAAATGTAATAATATAATAACATCATGTTCCCCATGCACCGTGCCATTTACAAACTGTGATTACAGGCAGTACTGCACTTCACCATCATCAGCAACCAGCCAGCATCCCTATGTCCCTAAGGAACTGAAGCACTCAGAGGCTGAGGTCCAGGAAAGCCATGGCAGGGCTAAGACTACAACCAATGTCTTCTACACGAGCTGTTCGCTTCCAGCACCCCAGCTCCTGGCATCATCACCTACAGTAGCTGTCTCCACTTTCTCCTCATCCCACTCAGGCTTCTGTCCCCATCACACCACTGAAAGTACTCTGGCAAAGGTCACTGATAACTTCTGCCTCAGAGGAGAATCCTTTTAAAATGTAGAAAGGCTGAAATATACAGAAAAGTACAAAGAGAATAAAAGTTGCTTAATCTTATAACCTAGGGGACATCACTATTAAAATGTTGGTGTGGCTTTATTCCTTTGCACAACTGTATATATGTGTGTGTGTGTGTGTGTGTGTGTGTGTGTGTGTGTGTGTGTGTGTGTGTGTATACACATACATATATTTTTTTAATACAAAAACATCAGGAACATTCCTCGATGTTCTATATGTCTTGCATAATTTCAACTAGTTGCAAAGTATCATTTTATCATATGGATGTCTATTTAACCAACTCTGTGTTTTTGTTTTTTGCTTTTTCTCCCCAAATCCCCCCAGTACATAGTTGCATATTTTAGTTGTGGGTCCTTCTAGTTGTGGCATGTGGGACACCGCCTCAGCATGGCCTGATGAGCAATGCCATGTCGGCGCCCAGGATCCAAACCTGTGAAACCCTGGGCTGCCAAAGTAGAGCGTGCAAACTTAACTACTTGGCCAGGGGGCCGGCCCCCTGTGTTGTATTTTTAATTTGCTTACACTTTTTTTTTTTTTTAAAGATTTTATTTTTTCCTTTTTCTCCCCAAAGCCCCCCAGTACATAGCTGTACATTCTTCGTTGTGGATCCCTCTAGTTGTGGCATGCGGGACACCGCCTCAGCGTGGTCTGACGAGCAGTGCCATGTCCGCGCCCAGGACTCGAACCAACGAAACACTGGGCCGCCTACAGCGGAGCGCGCGAACTCAACCATTCGGCCACAGGGCCAGCCCCTGCTTACACTTTTTTAAACATAGTATACAATGCTGTGTGACAAACAGCTTGGAAGAAGCCTTTGTGCTCATCCATAATGACTTCCTTAGGATAAATTTCTACAAGTCAATTTGCTGGGGACAAAGGATACACACTTAAGGTTTTTAATACTCGTCAACTGATCTCCAAAATTTTATAGCAACATACACTCTCTAAAATAATGTATGAGTATATTCAATTTACTTCACTCTGCCCCATGCTCGCTGTATTACTCAGAGAGAGAACATGTGCAGATCTGACAATCTGACAGGTACAAACCCCTCTCTGCTTTTGTAATTTGCCTATGGGGGATTACTAACTGCTCTTCTTGAAACCTCCCCCCACCGCTTCCTCCCCAACAACTCCTTCTTGCCCACTTCTTAAACACTGACGGGCCCCTCGGTTCCGTCCACAGTCCTGTTCTCCCCCTTAGATTTCTGACCTGGTGATGAGCTCATCCACCTGAGACCTCAGTGCCACCATAGGGTCATGCCTGACTTTCAAATATATCCCCAGAGCAGACCCTCCTCCTGGACGTCAGAATCTTATATCCAATGACTGATTAGACATGACTAAAAAAACCTGGTTGGTGATGTAGGTCCCTCCCTCCCGATGGCAGTTCAGTCTATTCATCTACCTTCTAACGCTTCTGGAGTCAGCCAAGCCTTTCCAGACCCTCCTACACTTAATGTGGCTCATGCAGCATCTCCACCCTGGACGGCTCTAACAGGCTTCCAACAAGTCTCCTTGTTTCTCATCTCAGTCCCCATCCCTCCCTCACTCTCCATTCCCCAGAAGGAATTTCTTAATAAAAAGCTGACGTCTCCAAATGGCTCAAAATTCTTTGATGGTCCTTCATTGCTTAGAGCAGAATTTCCCAAACTGACTGAGGTTTTTGAGGCGTTCCCTACAAAAAGGAGTTCAGTAAACACTGCATACCCCGCCTTGCCCCAGGAAAGCCCTAATGCAAGCAGTAGTTTGTAAGCTCTGGGAAGTCCTGCAGTAAAGAAACCACTTAGCTTTAACTCGGTGTCTTCCAAATGCATTTGACCATGGTTTTTTGGGGAGTTTTTTAACGACTGCATCTTGTGGACCAGACCCTGAAGGTAGCCATCTCAAGTTCAGTTTTTCAACCACTAACGAGGCCATCATTTTCTAAGGGACTTATATTGGCCACTGATGTTGGCTGGAACAGCCCTGTTGGTCAAAATTCAGTTCTAAGTATTGTTTAATGGGTGCAGAGTTTCAGGGTTACAAGACGAAAAGAGTTCTATGGACAGGTGATCGTGGTATAATAGCGTAAATGTACTTAATGCCACGGAATTGAACACTTAAAAATGGTTAAGATGGTAAATTTTATGTTACATGTATTTTATCAAAATAACAGAAAAAAAATCAGTTCTAAGCCAAATTGTGTCCTTTAAATCTTCATAAATGAAGTTTTCTACATCTTCACCTATTTGGGAGAACTAATTTATCTAATGCTCAAAAACACAGTACCCTAAGGTAAAGGCATACCTATTCTTTAGGCTGAGGTGTTTTTTTAGTCTCCATCCAAAACATCATGATTTCCTTGGCCATGGATGAATTCAGAAACTGAAATCTCCAATTTTGGCAGCACCAGGAACCTACCTAGTTGAGTATTTTCACCTTTTACATTTGGCTAAAGCAACATGCATAAACATCTGTGTAAAAGGAGATAAATGATACTGCATATCGGTATTGTAACATTATTACAAATTTTGTACTATCCTCAGTATAACATTTTCTGTGGTCCAGAGAGCCAAGGAAATGCTACACAAATGAATACAAAATTTACACCAAGTGGTGCTTCTAGAAGCCACATTAATCCTCACAGAACCCTAGACAGCTTCAAGGAACTTTTCTCTTTGGAAGTCACTTATTACATCATGCTAGCCCCAGCACAGTTTTTCATTTGATTAGAAGTAGCTCGCCCTATCCATCAGTGGTAGAGCTATGGTATCTACGACGGCTGGGGAGTTCTCAACTCTGCAGTCAGTGGACCTGAGGTGACTGCTGAACTCTAGGAGCGCACTCCTGGAGAGGCAAGGAGGAAAGCCTTACCTTGTTTGCTCCAAGGGATGCTGAAAAGGGCTACTATGTTCCATAGAAAATAGCTACTAGATGGCTCTCCCAAATTTTCTTGGGGTTCCAATTTTTAGCTATTAAGATAGGACAAAGCAAGCAATGTTTTCCTTGGCCAGCAGCATAATGTTATTGTAAATAGAGCACATTTAGCAGGCAGCAAACAGGCAACCAACGATTCCCAAACATCACATGCAGCATCTCTGTTTTTATTTGTTTAGTGCTATGACATGACAGGAAAAACAAAACCTTATTAATAGATTTGGGAAGGAATAATGTTTTACTGAGTTATGGTTGAAATGATATATATATTGCTCCTCATTTAAAATAATGACAGAGGACTTTCATATCAAGGAAGTTGGTTTGCAATATAATTAAACTCTAAAACTCATTAAACTTTTTCAAGTTTTTATCAGAATAGATGTTTTCAAAATTAACTACTTTTTAAAAAAGGAACTCCTAACGAAAATGATTACTCTGGTTTATTGGAGTAAATGCAGGATGAGTTAAAATAAGAGGAACTATTTACAGGCATATCTGAATTCTTGTGAGAATTGCACCCTTTATCTCTAAATGCTTCAGAATATGACTATACGTCATTTCCAAAGAAGTTACATAACTACACTGTAAACATTTCTGCTAGGTTTATAAATAAGCCTTAATAGTTTAATTATACAGGCTGGACCAGTAATAGACACACAAAAAGGGGTATGGTGGTGGGGGGTATGTAGCCTCACAGACACACAGCAGCTTGGTCAGGAGCACACACTCTAGAGCCTGTCTGTCTTGGATTTGAATTTTGTCTCTGACATTTATTAGTTGTCTGTTTTCAGGGAAGTTATTTAACATTTCTATGCTTCAATTTCCCATTCTATAAAAAGGAGATAATAGCATCTACAGTTACAGAGCTGTAAATGTGTTATTATTTGTAAAGTGCTTATAATAGTGTGTGGTGGATAAAGCTATATAAGTATTTGTTAAATAAACAGAAACTCAGAACAAATTCCATGGGTACTATCTCAACAGGAGCATTTTATGCTCTGTCAACTTATCACAGTTAGAAAAGCTATGGTTTGGCTATTTGAAAGCATTCATAAAGGCAGCAGATACCAGAGAGCCAAGAGGCGCTATAGTTGAAGCAAAGCCATTCTCAACGGGCTGGGGTGTGGGTAGGAGGGACAAAGCTTAAAAGCCAACCTATGGGAGACTGACTGGAAATCGAAGAGCTGGAATCAGAGCGCTTTATTTTACTCCCAGGATGGTGAACTAGAATAAAAAATATATAAACACAAAGAAACAGAGACAGAGCAGGAAACGCAAAAACTGGTCAAGAAACATAAACTGGCAGACAGTGGGGGAGCCTCCTGTATACCCACATGCAGCTTGGCTCACAGGAAAAAGGAAAGGATGCAGTTGAAGAGGAGTTAGCAACTGGAATTTGATCATTTCTCCCCTTCTGCAGCTCTCACACGCCTCTAGCTGCAGATGCCATCACTCATTAAATTCACCGTTTTCTCTGGCCTTCGGCTGGCATGCCAGCCTTTTCATGTTTAGCAGACAGATACCCTGAGGTCTTGCTTAGGTGATCATCTGTCTTAGAAGTGTCTAGGCTCACTGCCCCAGGCTCCTTATCCCTGCTCCTGGTCAAGGGAGCTCCCCAGTCCTTCCCTACATGGGAGGGGCCCAATACTCTCCCCAAGGTTCAGGCCCAGGAAGTATAGGCAGAGGGATCAGGAGCACTAACAGGGAAACTGAAGGGCTTCATCAGACTCCTTTCTAGGCTAGTGTTAATTTAATACCTCAAACTGGAACGCTTGCTGACACCAACAAATTCCCAGTTCTTGTTACTGTGTCTCTCAAAACCCATCTCCCCTGCCAGCATCAACCTCTCCTGCTTTCTCTCCCTGGTCTTCTCTGGCACCCACAAGTTCTAATCTGTGCTAGTGGGACAAAATCTGGGCAGCCCAACAACAAAATAAACAGACCCCACTACCGCCACTTTGTAGAAGCATGAAAGATCAGCGGTGAGGGCGTACCTAACACATAATTCACGCTCAGGATGGTTCCTTACCTCGGCAGGGGTCATTTTTCACTAAAAATTCATCCAGGGCCATCCATCCTCCACCAACACGGACCATGACTGTGCTGCGCAGGATGCGGACCAGCCGCAGCTGCTGGGAGTCCCCGAACTGCAGGACCAAGGGAAACTGATGAGTGAGCATGCCTTGCAGCAGGGCTAGACTTTCTTTCCAAAGCAGACTGTATTCAGACAGAATGACAATTTGATAGTTTGGAGAGAATTTTAACTATTTTGCATTTTTCACAAAAGAATTTTAAATATGGGAAAGCCAAAATATCAAACTAAAGACCAGTGTCTTGATATACTTTCTACTGGGATAAAGTTAACTTCTGATGGTCATGCCTCGACACCAAAGGGGCAAGATGGAGGATAGATACAACATTAGCTCATTTTGATTCTTTTAAAGGTTCTGCCTAAATTAAATCCCAATAATAAAATTCTTTGTCATGCTAGTTTATTTTCATAAAAGAAAAGGTAGCTATAAGGTGGATGTCAGCTTCCGAATACAGTGTGCTCAAAAGTTAAATGGGGAACAGCAAATAATATTTCAAGCCTCAAGGAAACCCTTGCAAAGCATCATTATTATTATAAGCTTAGAAGGAAATTTGATTTTCCACAATAGGTTTTCAGAAATAAACCCTAAGAATTCTCTAATTGTGATGTCACCAGCAGAAAAGTTTCTTCAGCTGAATAAATGATTAGCTGGTATTTATTCTAAAGGTTAGCTGAAGAAACTGAAATTTTAATCTACCATGCTGATTATAAATACTATTCAACAATCATTTCGGGATGTTAAAACAAGTATGACTTTTTGATATTTATATTTTCCTGTCTAACATTCCTACTTCCCAGCCCTGTCAACCTTTGGAGTTTCCCATTACATAAATTACCCTCTTCCCAAAATAAAGAGGCAACAAAAGAGAATCATGCTGAGATCCTAAAACAAAAACCAAACAGTTGGTTGGAGAGAGAGAATTCCTGAAATTATTTAATTCAAGGAGAGTATTCCTGGGAGAGAGGACAGACTTTTTATCTTGAAACAAGGTACAAAAATTGAAAATGCCAAAAAGGGTGTTTGAGAAGGACACGTAACCAACCTCCTTCACAATGAATGTACTTCTGGTAATTCTCTGTATTACTTTGCACTGATCAAGTGCACTGTTTATACAGGCAAGATGATGGAAAAAAATATCACCCCTCTCCCAAGCCCCTCACTTTGAAAATAAAAATAGCCCTACATCTTTCATCTCATACAGTTTTTAAGTTTTCATACAAAGTGACTACAGCAACAGCATGGTAAAGCGGGGACCCACAGAGATGTCAGGGAATAAACGACCTGTCCTGGGAAAGAAGCTGCCCCTTCCGGCTCTGTGGGCGTCTCCCTCAGAAGCTGGCCCAATAAGTGAAAACGGGGAGGCCCTTTGGGAGGAATCGAGGATTCCACCACATCCACGAGCAGCAACGGCCTGAGTCACTATTTGGGGTCTTCTCTGGACAGCTGAGGAGAGAAAGGAAATAGGGCCTAAAGGCCCTCCAGAGTGAATCGGGAAGGACCCCAAGATGTACTTTATCCTTACATTACTAGGGCCTGTAATTTACTTGTCAGCCTTTAGAATTACTCCACTTATTTCATGCTTTTTTCCCTTTAATTCCTTACTAAAGATCCCTCTGAAAGATTCTAACTTATTTTTGCTGAGGTATGGGGGAAAAAAAGGGTTTGACCCAAACCAGAGGCCAAAGTGGTTGGGGAAGTTGAGGCCAGAGTGACGAGCAGCGGAAGTGGTTATGGCAGCTCTAAAAATGGGGACCCGCACAAGCCTGGCAGAGCTGGGTCATCAGTGAGTAAAACACCTCAGAACAGAGTTTTAGGGGCAATGGTAACTTCTGTTTCCTTCTCTTAAATGGAGAATCCCTTACAGTGACAAAGGTTCTTGCAGTGGCTATGACATTAGCTCTGTGTGACTGTTGGCATATGATCCTTTAGGCCTCAGGTGCCTCGTATATAAAATGAGCTTCATAATTCTGTTCCCAACATTGGAACTAACTCATCTGACCCTCTGCTGGTCAATGGACCAGTAGAGGAAGACGTCAGTGGCATTTTGAAGGGGCCCTGGTAACCGCATGCAGTCATTAGCAAACAGGCACATCCTTTATATACTACTTGGCATTCTTAAGCAACGATTTATTTAAAGCAAGTTTTACTGTTCTTGTCTTTAGTTTCTTTCTATCTTCTGTTCTTCCCGCTGGTGCAGAAGGTTATTGTAGTTAGTGATTAATTGCAGTGCCTAGAACTTAACATTGATTGAGGGCTTCAAATCAACTCTTAGTGTTTCTGATTTCATATCACAAGACAGATTTCACCCATGCAATTTCCTTCCATCTGAAGACACAGGACCCCAGAGCCCTCAAAAAGATCTAAAAGGTTAGAGTTACCAAGTGCAGTCAAAAACATTCAATCTTTTTTGCAAATCTAATTCGATCCCATTAGATTTTGCTGGCTGGCCATAATTGGCAAACTTCAGGCTATAGCCAATGATGATTTCCACAGTACACTTCTCAGGTACCTTATAATTATAAAATACAATATAAGTGCAGGTAACTATAAATATTAATAAAGTATTTAAACAGACTGAGTACTTAAATACCCCAAGACTTTTCGACTTAGTGTACCTGATAAAATTTGTGTTCACTATCAAAAGACTTTGGTATAAATCAGAACTGTGCTGTCTGGTATTCTGACTCCCAACATAGAAGCACAAGGTCAGGCTCTTTGTAGAAGTGGGATGGATTGATAGCATGGTGTCAATCTTCCCTGAACCTTATTACTTCTAACTCAGTCCAGCATAATATCATTGTCTTCAGACAATCTAATTTTGAATGGAAAATTTCATCTCCTTTAGAAAAACATGTACTTATATCCTTTTGCTACTAAGACAGCTTTGCAATACTAGCCCTGTTAGCAGTTTCTCCACTTGGTAAGACAACCAGGTGTGACCCAGGCATGCTTCAGATTACGTCCTCTCCCCACAGCAAAGAACAGGCAGCGTTAGCTACACAGACCATTCCCATGGAGAAGAAGAATGTTGCAAGGCACACTGTACCTGATTGCCGAGGAAGAACTACAGACAGTGAGAGTAAAGGATGGAGGAAATGGAAGAAAAAAAAAGAACATTTTGTCAAATTAACACTAAGGAATGAAAATCATGTGATAACGTTACCAGTCTTCAAGGAGAGTGACACTCACTGACCGTGTTCTTACTAAGCTCCTGGCACAGGATGTGGCTTGACAGATTAAGAAGACCTAACTTTTCCACTCAATGTTGTTCTTGTTAACTCATTTCTCTCATACGTAATTAAAAAGACAAGGAAACAAAACTCAACAAGCAAGCATAAGATCGCTTGGAGCTTCATTAACTAAATGCCCTGGGTTGGCTACAAGGCAGTCATCCAGCACCCCCCAGCTATGAGCAGCACAATGTGGTTTTGGTGTACTTGAAGACATTTTTGATATACTAACGGAACCCAGATTTTCCCGTTCCTAATTTGGGGCGTATAACTGTGCAATCTGACATGGCCATCTAAATCCTCTTTGCCAATCCTAGATTTTCCCTTAGGATTTTAGAGGATCCTGACAAGCTGCTAGATATATTTTAGGAAGTCTGTTTCAGATTCCTTCTATGCCTCGACCTTGGTCTCAAAAGAAGCTACAACACAGCAGAGCTCCCTGTCAGTTATGTCCACACTCAGCACAGCTTTCCAGGGAAGACTACTGAGCCTGGCGTCTCCCCAGTACACCTAGGCCCTATTTGTAGTCCAGCAGGCACAGTGTCCCTTGGGGCCTTGACGCAGTTCCTCCAGCCCTCTTTGAGCCTGGGAGCCACTCAGGCTCACGAGGATCAGCTCTTTGGGGTGAATGGCCAGTTATCAGATAATGGTGTATTCAGTTCCCCGAAGACTTTGGTCAGCAGTAAACAGAGGGCTCTAAAATGTCTCCTATACTGGAACTCAAGTATAAGTTATTATTAGCTAGATATGGCACTATTTCTCCGATGGGACTATGTAGGGCACTAAGCTTACCCAAGAGGACACCTGACATTTGGACTCTATAGAGATTAGGGCCAGAGAGCGACCACATCTCAAGACCCACTAGCTCTGGTCCTCTAAGCATCTCTAGTGGGAAGGTGGGATCATTGAGTCTGCTGTGTGTCAGGTTGTTTTCACTTGAAAGGGCCACATAGGAGGACCACCACCACAAAGGACTGGTTTTCTCTTCCTTACCCGGTATTTATTCTCTCCAATCTGCTCCACCTGAAACCTTTTTGCACATTTGCACTGAGCCACTTGTCTTGTGACCTATTGGTTGTGAATAACAAAAAAAGCAAAGTGTGAAGGTTAAAGCAAGACTACCTCTTCAGAGAAACAAAGATTTTTACATATAAACAGGGAAGCTATTCATTATGTATTTTTTTGGCATTTCAGGCTTTTGACACATGTATCTATTTTCTATTCCGAATTAATACATGTTGTTCTTACTAACTGGGATATTCGAGACATTGAGAGAGAGAGTATGAAAGAAATTCCCAAGTAACTATAAAATACATTCTTCCACCCTGCTTCCAAATTCCTTTGAGAAATTTGCTAATATGCATGCATCAAAATCAGTTGACTAATTAAGCAAATTAATGAACTGATTTGAATTTCAACCTAGGAGGCCAAGATTGCCCTGAAGTTAGTCCTGGGGTGTTCCAGGCCACTCCCAAGACATGCCCCACTGCCTCTTCCTTTCCAGAATCAACAGATCCTGGGATCTCTAAGTGCTACTAATGAATCGCTATTTTCAATGTGATATGGTTCTTAACTAGGCAGAAAGCTTGGTGAGCACACACCATCTTAACTATTACATTTTACTCCTTAAATGATACATTTGAAGACCAGTCCCCTGGATCCTGAGGCAGGATGCTCAGGACTGAGAGACAAGTCTGTTCTAAGTAACATGGTGTCTGTTGAAAAGGATGAGTGTGGTAAACTTCTCTGCAAACTTTAGAGCGCCCACCGATGTGACTCACTTGAGTAAGAAGTCATCTAAACTGAACCAGAGCTCAATAGCCAGAGATCCACTGGGACAATGTCATCCAATGGGGATCCCCAAACAGAAATCCAAATAATTACCTCACAACCGACAAGTCACAGAGCTGATAGGAAAATTGCACCCATCCAAATTCAAGAGAGCAGAAACCTATGGCCAAAAATGTACTCAAAATATAACCATTTCCCATACCTCATCCTCAATTTTATCTGCGTCGGTTGTTGGTCGATAAGCATCTTTGTTGGGATGGAGAGCAGCCACAAATTCATAGTAATCAATGTAGCCATCCCCGTCTCGGTCAAAAATGTCAGCGACAGCAGTCATCTCTAACTTGGTAGTAGGGAACTCTGGAGAAAATTAATCACATTTTTGAACATTCCAAGAGGGCTTACTTGGGTTTTTGGAGGTCACAGGAATACTTTTTCAAAGAAAAATTTATGTCTTGATTTTTTTCTGAAAAGCCAGACACGCCCACTTAGAAAATTTAGAAGATATAAAATACTACAAAGAAGAGGGGAAAAAAAAAAAATCACCCAAAAATGCAGCACCCAGAGACTACTCACTGTTAAGTTTTTGGTGGGTGTTTTTTTCTTATATACTCCCCTAACCCCCATTCAATTAAAAAAAAAAAAGATTATTTCAGATATACCAAAAGGTATAAACACAATACTACAACCACCCAAGACCTACCACTCAAGAATTTATTCTCTACTCCACTATTATTAGACATTTAGATTTGTCTAAATTAGATATGACAATTTGGAATTAATAGGATGAAGTGTTTTCTATGTTTAGATAGCTGCCTTAAGTTCTTGACAAAATGCTTTCTGAAGGAAGTGTGAATATTTACAGTAGCCAAAGTGGTTTATTAAACCATAAATCAGATTACACTGTCTCTCAGCTGAAGACCTCAGGTGGCTGCCCACCATCCCAGTGTCTCTGGAATGAGAGATTAGATTTGACCTCTTCACCATGGCCCACTAGGCCCTGCACTACCTGGCTGCTGCCGACCCTTCCAACTCCAGCTCTCTGAGGCCGTGACGCTCCAACCACGTCAATTTCCCTATTCCTAGAACACGCCAAGTGCATTCTCATCTCAGCACTTTGTATCTGCTGTTCCCTCTGCCTCTCTCTCTTCCTTGAAATCTTGAGGTGGCTGGATCCTTCTCATCACCTAGGTCTCAGCTCAAATATCGCCTCCGGACAGGCCTTCGCCCGCCACCCACATAAAGGTGCACAGCTGTGGACTGTGCTTTGTGATCCTGGCAAGTCCCTTAACTACTTTATGCCTTAATTATCTCTTCTGCCAAAACCAAATGAGATCACACGCTTTGTAAGCTGTTATATAGATGTAAAAAACTGACATTATGAAAAAATTACTTTTTTAAAACATCTTACTTAGAAGGTCATCATTCACAAAAGTTAGCTCCCTATCTATACTTCAAATGTGTTTTGCTTGCCACAATGTGTCAAACAAGACCCGCTTTTTTTATTCCCAGCAAAATGAGGTTCTTCTCTCCATCAAAACAACAGACCAATTTTAGTAAGCAGTTACATTACTTCTTCCTTAAGACTATAGCTTTAACTTCAGAAAGACTGTTTAACCAGAATATTGCCTGCTTCTACAAAATAAGTGCAAAGAATCCGGGTGTGACCTGTGTTTGGAATTATGACTGGACTCACTGGATGCTAGAATGCCATCAATAAACTCCTGACGTGTTATCTTCCCATCCTGGTCCTTGTCAATTCGCCGGAAGAAATCCATCACCCGGGACTTTTTGTGGTTCATCCAACGCATATACTTTTTCCTCCAGACATCAAAGTCAAAGTTGGCGAATTCCTTCAACTAGACAGAAATCAGAGGTGTCAACAAGACCTATCATTTTGGCTTGCAAACCTGCCCAGAGCATACCAAAACTGTCAGACATTCAGTAAAGCCATGCAGGCCTTCTGGAGGGGCACCAACAATGACATCTATGTGTTGCCTCTTCTGTGAAGGCACAATTTGGCTCCTTCACATAAAGCCATGATTATTTACATGAGCTGTGGTATGATGGAGCAGCGGGAGAAACAGTAACTGAACAACCACCATGGAAAATACAGAGCACGTAGAACAAGAATGGGGGGAGCCAGCCTTGCTTTCCCTTTGCACTTTTATGAAGGACCACCCTCTTAGATGTAAAGGAATGCATTCTATCCCAGACGAGAAGTCCTCAGCACTCCCCACTTATGGGATTTTGAAAGGAATTATGATCACACCGAGGCCCACATCAGGTGGCGCATGTTTCCCACCGTTTTCTGAGATAATTTGAGTTCTGGCTGGAAGCAAAAGAATCCAACCCTGCACCCAAGCATGTGTCTTTGGAATGGCACCAGAGATGGCAATCTGCCCATCTGACTTCCATGTTCAATACTGGGCCTTGACAGACGACAGCAGGCTGCGCAGGGGACAAGGCAATGTTGAGCTACTTGGACCATGTTAGTGATACAGACTTAGAATGACCGTGCAGCAGTGTTCCCCCTGGTCTTTCAAACTCCAAAGTTGGAAGGAATAGGGGAAAAAAAGCCAAAAACCAAATATGCTTAAAACTCAACTGACCTACAGAAATACAACAAAAAACACAGAACACTCACTTCCGGGCATAGCTGCTTTGATATGCACAAATAAAAAACACATAAAAGATGTTAGAAATTTGTTTTAGAAACTAGGAAGTGTAGCACTATATATTTTAGACTGGTTAACGATACTTAAAATAGATTTGCTTTTTTCATAATCTAGTGAAGAGTAATAGAATAAAAAGATTATAAATAAATTACTCTTATTTCATAATCGTGTAGCTTGTATCTTTACATAAAGGGCTCAATAATGGCCATTCTTGTGATAAGCTCCACACCTGGAGGTAACTTCGCAGTTATGCTCCTGATTCTTGACCACAGCCCGGTGCTGAGGAGGGTCAGCTCACAGACCGTACTTTCACAGACTGACTGGTTGCTTGCTTGCTTTCAACAACCAGGTGCTACTGCCTACTCTTTTGTGAGTGGTTTCCTCACACGTGTCTCTTTTCTCCTAGGGGGCCTGAAGGACAGAATACTGGCTCACATTGCTCATATTAAGAAGGCCTCAGAAGGACTGTCTTTTGATAAATGTCCCTGGCCCCTAGAGATAGCTCTTGGCAGGACCTCACCTCCTCCAGTCTATCCAAGGCATCGTTCAGCTTCCGTTGCCGCTCCAGTGCTAACAGCCACACCTGCTGCCAGCGGGCGGAGAGCTGGTTGATCCGTGGGTTTTTTGCTTCAGATTGTGAAAGGATTGGCATGGGAGGAGGTGTGGGCTGACTCAGGGACTTCCCTAAAAGGAAAAACCACAAGATCAGAAAAGTTGGTTTTGTCAGTTCACAAACAGAAATTGCCATATGTGTGAACTTAGGAGATCTTAAAACAATAACCAGCCAGTAACTGAGAAAAGAAACATGGGACCTAGCACTATTTAGATATGGAAGCACACTAATTCCAAAACTACTGATCCTCCTCCCCAGCCAACAGGTCTTGTCTGCAATCAAGTCTGTCCTACCTTAGTGAGCTGAGGAAACGTCAACTCAACTGAAAAAGCAATGGTCCCATAGGAGCTGATTTATTTTATGATTAAATTAGGGTAAACCAAACATAAACAGCTAGCACTGATGACCAAGACAATGGAAAGGCCACTGCAAAACAAGTTGCTTAACCGCTTTGAAACTGCACACCAATCCAAGAAAATGGAGCATAGTTACTCTGTCAGTGTAAGAAAAAGGTCTTAGTTTAAATCCAACATGGTTTCTGAAAATGGAGAAGAAATTTTTTGATAGACACTTGGAAAGTGTTCATCTTCAATTAGTGTAGGGACAAAGCATCCTAACATAGAGGGCTGGAAACATACTGCTACCACTGCGGGATTTCTCGATGAAAGGCGCATGGGCAGGCTCTATATTCTTTCTTTTGTATGTCTTGGTGACCCGGTCCACGTCAGGCTGTTTGCGAGTCATCTCCTCCATAAAGGTCTGTTAAACGTAAGCAATAGGAAAAACAGTTGAGATTTTTCTTTGACTAAGATGGAATCAGGCAACTTACTAACAAAGGCCAAGCCCATGATAGACAGACCAACTGACAGATGCCTTTGTACACTGTCTCACTCCTTTCAGGAAATATGATTAAGCAAGGCACTTTACCAGGTGCTGGAGACCTGAAGGAGCAAGACATGGCTCTGACTTCAAGGAGCTCACAGTTGAGTGAGGAAAACCATGGAGTCAGAGCAATGAGTGCTACCCAGGGTGCCACAGGCGGACCTACGACAGGCAGCCCACAGTTCGAGGGGGCGAGAAGGCTGCCTGGAGGCTGGTGCCTAAACAGAGCACTGAAGAATTAGCCAAAGACTGGGGGGAGGGCAGTCCCAGCAGAGGACGCAGAGCGGGCAGAGCCAGGGAAGCCTGACAGCGTGGTGAGCCAGGGCCCTTCTGATCACTGGCTGAGCAGAGGATGCAATCAGATGTGGCAAGAGGGAGGGGTGAGGAGGGAGGCAGGAGAAAGATCCAGAAATGCCTTGTGTCAGGCTAAGGGACTGGGACTTTATTCCAAGAGCAATGGAGGAGCAAGGGAAGGATTTTGATCCAGAGAAGAGACATGATCAGATCTCTGTCTTAGAGCTATCATTCTGGCTTTTGTGCAGAAGGCAGAGTGCTGGTGGGGGACAAGTTAGGAAACCATTGCAATAACTGAGGCAAAACATGGTGAAGCTCTGAACCAGGGCAAGAAAGAAGGAGCCAAGAGGAATTCTGAAAGTAGGACAGATAAAACCTGATGATTGGCTAGACGTAGGGGGTACAGGAAAAGGAGGAGTCCCGGACACACATCACAGGCTTCTATGATGGGTGACTGGGTGGACGAAAAGAGAGGAGGCAGGTGTGGAAGAGAAGGGTGGAGTCAGGCAAGGAAGCAAGGATAAAATGGAGTTTTAGAGCTGGCTCTGACTTACTGAATCTCTGGACTTCAGGGGATGTTGCTGCTGGAGATCAGGAAAGAGACTGGAAGTCTTAGGTTTCTAGATGGTGGCTGAAGCTGTTGGACTAGACAGAACTCAGCAGTGTGGGAAGAGGGGCAAGAATGGAACTTCAGGGAACAACATTAACAAGTGGATAGAGGAATAGGAACTGGCTAAGACAACTGAGAAAGAATCATCAGAGAGATGGGAGGAAAACAAGAAGACAGGAGGACACAGACGTCAAAAGAAATGAGTTTTGAGAAGAAAGAGGCAACTATGTTGCACATCAAATAAGACAAAGACTGAAAAGCATCAGTTGGACTTAGCTAGTGGCACGTGCCTGGGACAGCGTCAGTGGTCTGATGGGAATGGGAACCAGACCACAGGGGCCTGGGGAGTGGGTGGGAAACAAAGAGAGAAGGCAGGGAACAAGAAGCTCGTCAGAAGAAGGAGGGAGGGAACAGTGGGGGTAACTGGAGGGGGACACAGGGTTGAGAGGACATACTGAGCAGCTTTGGAGGAAAGAACAAATAGAATGGGAGAGCCTGAGGACACCAGGAGGAGAGGGGATAACAGAAGGAGAAGCTTTGAATAGGAAGATGACAACCTCTCATTTAGCCAGGAGAGAAGGTGTCAATGCAGGTAAACTTTATAGGAAGTCTAGGGAGTTCTCACTGACAAAGTGAACTACTTATATACACTAAAAAGACTGATTTTCCATAGTATAACTAAGCAAGACCCATGCTTACATTCAGTGTAAATTATCATGGTTAAAAACTGTATTTGGGGGCCGGCCTGGTGGCACAGCTGTTCAGTTCATATGTTCCGCTTTGGGGGCCTGGGGTTCGCCGGTTCGGATCCGGGGTGCGGACATGGCACTGCTTGGCAAGCCATGCTGTGGCAGGTGTCCCACATATAAAGTAGAGGAAGATGGGCACGGATGTTAGCTCAGGGCCAGTCTTCCTCAGCAAAAAAGAGGAGGATTGGCAGCAGATGTTGGCTGAGGGCTACTCTTCCTCAAAAAACAAAAACAAAAACAAAGAAACCATATTTGCCTCCTAAGGATCTATTATAAAGATAGCTCAACTGACCTTTCCTTCATTGAGTTTAGTTTGATGTGTTGTCTGAGTCCATCTCTGGGTTCATGCAAGAGACCTTTCTGAACCCTGGTGTAACGGGGTTAGACCAATGGGGCCTTGGCTCAGAGGCAAGTAAATAAAACAAGATGTGGCAGGCAGATTTCTAACATGGCCCGCAAGAAGCCCACTCCTGGTGTATAATTCCTAAGTAATCTCCTCCTGAGTGTGGTCAACACCTGTGAAAAGGATGGCATAGTCGCTCCCTGGATTACATTTTATGATATAAGATGTCAGAGCAGAATGGAGCTTCTCCGGCTAGCTTTGAAGACCTAAGCTGCCATGTAGTGAGAGTGTCAGTCAGCTAAGACCTGAAGGTGGCCTCTAGGAGCTGACAGCGACTCCTGGCTGACAGCCAGTGAGAAAATGGGAGATCTCAGTCCTACAACCACAATGAAATGAATCCTGCCAGCAACCTGAATGAGCCTGGATGAGAACTGCAGTGCTGGCACTGGCTGACACTTTGATTTCAGCCTGTGAAGACCCTAAGAAGAGGACCCAACTAATTCATGCCCAGACTCCTGCTCCACAGAAACTGTGAGAGAAGAAGTGCATGTTGTTTTAAGCTACTAAGTCTGTGGGAGTAGGTTAAGCATCAACTAAAAAACAAAAGCAGAGGGCAAAAGAAGCGGGCTCCTCAAGTAATGCAGGAAACACCAATGACCCACACGATGTGGTGAAGGTACCTGATGCTCAGCAATCAGGGCTTTAACTCGGTCAATGTTCTGAGGGATCGGCTCCTGATCCCGTTGAATGAGGGTGGTCTCAGCCCACTGGATCCAGGCCAGAAGTTCTTCCAAGAGCTCAGCGTTAGCCACCAGTTCTGACAAGGCTGTTTCAAGACGCTGTTGGTGCTGCTTAGCCCATGTCAGGACCTGGGGGAGGAGAGAAACCATTGGCTCTTTCAGTCAAGCACGTCCCCTCGTTTTCAACATCCTTTTTTCATCTCATCCTAACAATGACTTTTTAGGGGGAAGACCACCTAAGCAGTCAAGAGGCTTCACTCTTGCTCCAGTGACAGAGCTGGAATGAAAAATCAGCTCTCCTGAAAGCAAATCTAGTATGTCCTATTAAACACAGAACTTCTCAGGAAGGAGGGAAGAATACTCATGTCCATTGGAAGTCATCAATTAACACATCACTACACCAGTACCATTCTTCCAGATTTCTGCACATTATCAAGAAAACAGTCATTACTAAAACGCTAACTTAATTCTTATTGAGATATTCACAGTGAAAGATTCCTTGTCTGAAAAAAAAAAAGAAACGAAAGCAAGCTCCATAGTATTTTATTGCTATAAATCCATTTTCTTGGGCATATGTAGTCTTTCTCTGAAACTAGGAGCTCACCTCCTCAAAGCGAGCTCGGATGATAGTGATCCAGTGTTTGATGGTAGTGATGCAATCAGGATGGCAGACAGCCAAGATGACTTCTCCCATTGCTACCGCTGTGTTAACATCCACTCGCTTTTCTTCCACTTTCTTCATGAATTCCTAAACAAAAAGGATTTGAAACCAAAAAACTTAAGAAATCTATTCTAGCAGCATTGTTAGTTTATACTGAGGGGGAAAAACTTGTGTATTTTTTGACTGCATCTGTTGACATAGAGGTCTAAAAGCCTGTATTTGGGCATCTCTGGCATCTTCTTTCCAGTTCTAATAGACATGGGACAGTGAAGTGTTTACACAAGAATGACTTTCTCTGCCACAGATGACAGGGACCAGGGACAGAAGTGGGCCCCCTTTTCCAGGCTGGGCATGCTCTTTTTCCTGTTCTAAATTAGTTTCTTTTTCTTTTTATAAATTCCTGTTTTTATTCATTTCCATATGTGTAAATGGTATTGCCTTGGACAAATACGACAGCTATAAAACACAACAATATTTAAAAGATATCTACAACAGAATACAATGACAAAACTAAGAATAAAATCTCCTGGTGGGGAACACAAAAATTAAAAAAGGAAACACTGCCCACCTCATTAGGATAGACACTGAGGCCCCAGATACTGCATTATATCCTGCAGCTTGGTAAGTGGTTCTGGGGGAGCAGATCAGGGCCTGAAGCTGCTAACACAAGGAAAGTCAAACAAAGGTGTGTGCAGGTGAGGAGTAAAGAAGGTGGAGTTGTCATGGTTTCTTTATATAACACCATGCTGTCTGACTTGTTTACAACAAACGCGTATTACTTTTGTAGAAATGAATGTTCTTTAAGGTGTCACAAAACCTACCAGTCATTTCCCTCTCATCCCTGCTAAGCCAGTAAGTTGGGCCCATTCTAGTTTAGCTCCTTTTCAAGTAGGGTCTGATGTGGCCAAGCAAAAGCTGCTTTCCTTTCGTGGTGGGGCAGCCCTCACTGTGGCGGGTGGTGTGGGTCACTGCACCCTGGGGCTGGGTTACCTTATGGGTGTCAATGAGAGACTGCAGGGCCTCTGTGTCATCAGGAAGTGCTCCCCGAAAACGAAGTGTTTGTTCTGCTTCAGAAAGCCACTCCAACAGCATGTGGACTGTGTCCCGAAACTCTTCTGCCTGAAAAAACCAAGCACAAAAGACTGAACCTCTCTCTGCAGCCGAGGTCCTGGACACTGGGGAGTGCCAGAAAAAGGGTCTGGCCTGAACTCAGTTAGTGCATCACAGGCAACTGATGGTCCTTTCAAAGCCCCACAAAGGTCACCTTTCATTTGTAGATCTTTGAAAACCAACTGAATTCATTATTTCTCTAACACAAATGAGTGTTAAAATCTTGTAGAACATTCAGAATATCAACTTTTTGACTTTATGTTCATTTTGAGACTGGTTGGAACTGATCCTGCTAAAGAAACTAGAATGAATCTGCTCAGATCCACCCCTATGTTTGTCCCAGCAAACAGCTCTGACCTGTTTTAAGGCCTGCTCAAGTCGGCTCTGTTTGGAGACGGAGAGGTTACACACAGTGTCCCAGCGAGTGCTCAGTTCCTGGAGCTGCCCTTTCACCCAAGTGGTGTCATCTCGACTATTCTCAATCAGCTCTCGGCCTGACCGCTTCAGGACCTGAACAGTTCCTGTTCGCTTTCCCAGTTCCTTTTGGAAAACCTAGAAAACAGCAGAATTAGTTTGTTTTAGAAATGTTTTGAATCCAAGAGACAAAATCACAGAGAAAGTAATCACTTAGTTCCATTTTTCTTAGTAGTTTCCAGTCACGTGTCTTTTATGCACAGAATGAGGCATGATGATGTGTAAGAAAGGACAAACAGAAGATGTGGCTCTAAACACGAGTGGTGTGACTTTGGATAAGCTGCTTAACTGGAGTCCAGTTTTGTGTCTGTAAAATGAGAATAATGTTATACTAACATTTCCAGAATTGTGGGAGTTAAATAAAAACACATCTGCCATGCGCACAATAAGACTTAGATGTAATTTCAAGGTAAAGCTGATGCTTTGTGCTAAAGCAGGAGGACATTATGCAGCTCAATATGACAGGTATAGATTACACTAAATATTGGTATGCATGGTGTTTGGCTTGTTAGGTTCAGAAGTAGTCAAAAAAGCACTCATTTTTATTTTAGGAATCAGTGGAAATGAGTATCTTGAGGGTCTCCTGAATTTAAATTCATTTTGTGACTCAACAGAGAGAGAGAAACAGGAGTGGGGGGACATCAAAAGGAAGTTTACATACTGCCAAACCTCAATCAAACCAACTTTGGTAAATTCTTTGTGACTGATGCAGAATCCTGGCAACAGTTTGTTTAAACACAGAGCAAGGAGCCGCCTCTCTGACAAGCAGAGAAACAGGCTCTTTCTTTCAGACTTCCTTTCTCCCCTAGAAGGTCAGCATGAGCACACAGGTGGACGACCCAAGGCTTCGTGCTCCATGCAGCCCAGATCTCACCCCTTACCTTATGGGCATCCATGAGGTTCATGACGAGGTCGAGGTCCCCGTGCACCGGCTGGTCCTCGGCCAGCTGTGGCTCCACCTTGTACAGCCAGTCGACCAAGGCCTGCAAAGCGTCCATGAACTGGCCTGAAAACAGCAGGGCCTCCTCCAACTTGTGCTGCCTGAGAAAAGCACACAAACCTTTTTAGAGATTCTTTTTTTTTTTTTTTTTTTAAAGATTTTATTTTTTCCTTTTTCTCCCCAAAGCCCCCCGGTACATAGTTGTATCTTCTTCGTTGTGGGTCCTTCTAGTTGTGGCATGTGGGACGCTGCCTCAGCGTGGTTTGATGAGCAGTGCCATGTCCGCGCCCAGGATTCGAACCAACGAAACACTGGGCCGCCTGCAGCGGAGCGCGTGAACTTAACCACTCGGCCACGGGGCCAGCCCCTTAGGGATTCTTTTATGAATGGCCTACAACTCTGACTACTGAAAGGGACCACCATAGTAGAATGACTAGAAATCCTGTAAAAAGTGACTGAGAGAGACCACTTAATCAAACCACTCTCAGGAAAGAATGAAGCATGGTGCAGGAGACAAGTACAGAGGCACTTCTGGCACCTTAGAGTCCAATAGCTATGCCCATGGACACACCCTAACGACCCAAGGTCTGTGCTCATTACTTTACACCACGCCATAGAGGAGGACGGCTGTGGTAATGGTCTGGAGCCAGGAGTTCAACCCCCAGCTCTCCACCAGTTGTGTAACCCTAGGCTGTCTCTTCAACTCTTTGAACCTCAGTTACCTCACCTAAAAAATTGGAGCACAAACAACATAGAGATAGTGTAATACTTAGCATAGCACAGTGGGTACAAGTGGATAAAAGTACAACTTTCAGGGGCTGGCCCCATGGCCGAGTGGTTAAGGTTGCATGCTCTACTGCGGCTGCCCAGAGTTTCGCCGGTTGGGATCCTGGGCACGGACATGGCACTGCTCATTAGGCCATACTGAGGCAGTGTCCCACATGCCACAACTAGAAGGACCCACAACTAAAAAAATATACAACTATGCTGGGGGGATTTGGGGAGAAAAAGCAGGAAAAAAAAAAAAGAAGATTGGCAACAGTTGTTAGCTCAGGTGCCAATCTTTAAAAAATAAAAAAAGAAAAAAGTACAATTTTCAAAATTGAACTGCCTAGTTTCAAAATCCACCTATCTCACTCAATAGCTAAGTGACCTTGGGGAAGCTAACAAACCTCTCTGATAATTTCCACATCCGTAAATGGGAATAAAAGTCCCACCCTTAGTGGCTGTTACGAGGATTAATGGTTAGTAAGCACAGTTTGGCACATACTCAGTAGTAGCTGCTCAGTACAGGTCAGGTATCACGATGGTTAAATGAAGTAATACATGTGGAGGCTTTGCACAGCATCAGACACAGTGAGAGCAGTCAGTCAGACAGCTGCTGGTATTACACATTGGTGATTTATAAATACTTAGAGTTACTGATCTCTTACTGTTGGCTTAATTTTACAGGCTTCTCTAATACAGTAAGATTTAAGTTTAAAATGAGAGATCTTTACTTCATTTTATTAAAATTATATCATAACTCTCACTGAACTAACTGGAGATACTGAGATGCCACAAAACCTCTTTAGTGATGGCTTTATTAGCTTTACTACCATTTTGTGGAAGCCAGTAAGTTTCTTAGTTACTTTTGGGACAACATACAGGCCCATAAATGGGACATTCATGCTCACCTCTCTACAGACTTGCCACAAACAGTATCCCATTTATCTCTGACTTCTCCCAGCAAGTTGTCAAGTTTCTGAGTGTCATCAGGAAGCAAAGTCTTTTCTTTCAGTGCTCTGCCAGTTCTAATTGTGGTATCATACACGGGCTGTTTGCCACCAAGAGTTTTCTGAAACTCCTGTTTCCAAAAAGAAAAGAAAAACACATGGTGAAAGTTAGATGACACCTTGATTTGGGACAAAACATTTTTTTTTTGAGTTTTCAGGTTGGTAACCAGTTATAGTATGAACATCACTACTTCTTGAACTGAAATTAACAATAGCTTATCCTTAAGAAATTTATGTTTTTGTTTTTGCCACTTACGACAGTGTTTGACAATTTCTAAATGCCTACAATTTTAACTGGTTACTCCCACCATGACTTTGTTTGAACTGTCCTCTAAGTGAGCAATTGTCATGGTTAGATACTGTCTAGATATAAACGGAATGCTAGCTTCATCATCTTGACTTTTTAACATTAAACAATTTATTTACTATGGACTAGTCTTGACTTTTATTTTTAGCAAGCTATAATCTTCAGTGAATATCAAGCTCAGGACCTAAGCTGCTATACCTTATGCTTAGAGAGCTGAAGTTTAATTTTGTCTGGGTCGTTGGATATCTCCAGTTCTGAGTCCAGGTGACTCTCTGCATCTTCTAGCCAGTCAACCAGTTTTTTCCAAGCTTCATGGAACTAAAAACACATGGGAAATAAGTCATAACAGTAATGAATGTGCATGTGCGACTTTTATGTGCATCAATCCAGAGACTCATCACGTGCAGCCCAAGGTTGTTCAATGAATCAGTATCTTTCTTTTACAACTTACTTGTTTTGCCCGCTTCCTGGCATCATCCAGGGATCGCCCTCTCTCAATAGATCGCTGGACAACCTTTTCCCATCGCGACTGGACGCTAACCAACAAATTCTTGATTAGAACAACATCCTGTTTTTGGCTAAGGAACTTTAGCTGATTCCCGGTTTGATCCAGCTCAATGATCTGGTCTCGATGAGCATTTACTTCATTAGCGAACACCTAAGGGGAAAAATATTCCTCTTTTTAAACTGAAGATAAGATAGAGGAATATCTCTTTCAACTAGTACTTTCAGAAGGAAAGCAACATCACAATGTCATAGTTACCTTGTGCTCCTCTATCTGTGATAGGACAGTGTTTAGAATGAGGCTGGGAGGAGAAGCGATGTTTAAACTCTGCTCTGCTAGAGTGAGCCAGTTGATAAATTCCTGCAGGGAATTCTGGAATTCTGTTGCCAGGTTGAGGGCCTCTTCCAGCTTTGACTGAATTTTAATTAAAACACACACACAAAAAGAAAAAGTGCCAAATTCAGGAATTATAGCTTCAAGGATAAAGGCATGAATTGTACACCAAATGAAATGACCTCTAAAACAGAAGCCTCATTTAATCAATCTCCAAACATGATTTGTTTGCAAAGAAGGGGAGATTTTAATGCTAGTGTTTGAAACTGAAACAACTGCACATGGAAAGCGAAAGAGCACAACTTGCTCCTAAGCTGCCTTCTCTGCCATTCTCTACTTCCAGGGGCATTAAAGAACAGGAATGAAACTATTCAGTAAATGTAAGTGAACAGACCCTTTAGCGGTGACAGCTGCAGGATCTGCAACCTGCTTCGCACAGTCTCAATTTCCTTTAACGTACTTTCTAGGGTATATAAACCACCACGTGAAAAGCACTTTACTGTAAAGATGATGCTCACTGCAGTGTCCTCTGTTTAAATACATTTTCAGAAAATACGGCACCTAAAAATGTCTGAATCTGAAACTTACTTTTAGGCTATAAGCAAAAAAGGTAATAAAAGAAGCCATGATATTCTAAGCAAAAATCTGACAACACTAGATGTAAATTTTTAGACACTTTGATCTAAATCAGAATGGCAGAACAGTGGCTCATTCAGGGCACGTGCTCCTCTCCATGAGTACACTCCCGTTCCAGAGTCTACCAGCTCCATCCTCAGAGACCTCTACTCCCAACACGTGGGTGACGCCTCTGCCCCTGGCCCATCCACCAGGCAGGCAAAGTAGAATAATGACAGTTGTTAAAAATAAATGCATCCAAAATATTCACAGAAAGAAACCCAAGTTGTAAAAAAAATGTTAATTGTCATTCGTTGGGTTACATGATTTTTATTCTCCTCTGTCTTCAGGTTACTTTTGTAACCTAAAAAACAATAATGTGAGTGTCACAAAAATGTACAGATCCAATCTAAACCAAGTGGAAAAATGAAATCTACTTCAACTCTATGATAGAAGTACTTAGAAATAAATATATTGCAAGTTCCTAGATGGCAGGAACTCTTTCCACATAGTTTCATCTACGTATTCTTTAGTATAGCATTTACTAAACGATTTTAGTGATCCTGGAATGTAATGTTCTCACAAAATCAGAAATAACTACATTTGACACTTGGCCTTTGCTGCAACAGTTCCAGCAATGATGGGTAATTGTATCTTGAGTCTTCCCACTGTTGGGAAAACCCACTAGAGCCTTCCTGATTATGAGCAGAATCGTCCTTGGTTTTTAAAATTAGCCTTAGTTCTGCATTCTGCAGGAATTATAGACAACATCCTGTCCAAGAATTAGAATACAATCATATACTCAGGCCCACTGGCCATTCTTCATATAACAAAATTACCAGACCCTACACTAGAAAAATTCTAGGAAATCAATGCTTCTCTCAAAATGTTCATTTATTTATGTGAATATTTATTTTATGTCCTTCTGCCCATAAAATTTCATAATGATAGGATCCATGCCTTTATTGCTTCCACTATATATCTAGCACAGTGCCTGATACACACGTTAATAACTATTTGCCGAAATGCACGTGGCCAACAAATTTGAACACATATTTTACATTTGATCTACCCGACACAGAAACTCTGTGCAGAGTGAAACTCTCAAACTTGGTATTTATAAAAAACAATGTTTTGGGGCCTTTATCCCCGATAACATTTTTCTTCTTTTGAGAACTTGATTTTTGAGGAAGAGAGGGAAGAAGCCATGTAACTTGCTTCTCTCCTGATTTTTAGTGAAATTCTTTGCACATTGCACTTACACTAGAATCCAAATTCCTTGTGGGGAATTATTAGTCATACCCCCGGCATGCTGTGTCCCCACCCTCCCAAACTCAAGTTACCAAGTCCAACATAACCTTTTCTAAGTAGGAACACAAATCAGTGATTAATACGGGATATACAGTCCATCACTGAGCAGCAACAGGCAGTAATGTCTTAACTGGTAGATGCAGAAAAGGAATGAATAATAAAAGGAAATATTGTCAGAAACTAGTACCATCAATGCAACTTGACATGGACAGAAAACAGAAATTTAAGAGCAGAAAAGATAGCTTGGTTAGCATGAGGGAAATTCTGAGGACATCAGTTCTGCAACTTCTGGTACAACATACTGGTCTTTGAAAAATCTTCATAGAAACTAGATGTTAATTACATGCAATCACCAAGCAAACGACTCAAACACAGTAATCACACACTGTATTTTGTGGTGATACCTTTCTTTCCTCCATCTTACTGCTGACCACATGCCACTTCTGTTCCAAGAGTGCTACACTCTGTTCTGTCTTCGAGCCAGAGCCAGAATCATCACGGCTTAGAAGCATGAGTCTGCCCTTGTCAAGCAGTTGATTATAAGTCTCTTCCTTGGCTTTGAGCTGGGAATAGAGTTCCTACAAGAAACAGCAGGGAAGATATCAGCTACACCAATTCCCTGGAAGATCCCCTCAACACAGATTTACCAGCAAAGTCTGGAAAAGTCCAGGAAGGTTTCACCTTGATAAAAATCCTTTCTTTTGGATTCAGTTCAACTGTAGAGCTGTTAGGGAGTGAAACCCACTATTCTTGCTTAATATTAAAATAATTTTGTCTCCAAGTAAATAGAATTTTTTTGGTAAGGATCAGAGGTCACAAAATAGATGCTAATAATTTCCCCTTTCCTGAAAGATTCGCCTAGAAATTATGTTGCCTTTTGTGCTCAGCATACCTTCTCGAAATATTGTCAGTACCTACTGGATTTCCCTAAATCTCCCCAAAGTAGTCTTTTTCTTAAATACAACCACATCTGTGTTATGTATTTGTCATCTTTTTTTTTTTTTGGCTTAGGAAGATTTGCCCTAAGCTAACATCCACTGCCAATCTTCCTCTTTTTGTACGTGAGCTGCCACCACAGCATGGCCACTGACAGACAAGTCGTGTAGGTCCACACCCAGGAACTGAAGCCGGGCTGCTGAAGTGAAGTCTGCTGAACTTAACCACTAGGCCACTGGGCCTGGCCTCATGTTTGTCTTCTTGATGCTCTCACCTTCAAATCAATATTCTTGTGCCAACCTGAACTAATAAACTCAAAATTTACTAGATCACCAGTGTATTTTCAGCTGACTCTTCCCTGTCACTACTGTTGCCTATGGTAAGGTATTAAAAGCCTGTATATAAGCAGCAATCCCCAAGGCTAGACTATATTGCAGATAAAAATATACTTACTTTGTAGACTCCCAGATACATGTATCTCTGTGAATTCAGAAAGGAGCTACTGAATATGGGGTGCTTATGCTCAACTTCAAGAAATCTCTCTTACCATATGTGTATCAAGCTGTTCCCTAGCAGTTTCAGGAAGTCCTCCTGTGGGCTTAGATGCAGAAAGTTGGGTCTCCATTCTAGTCAGTTCCAAGAGGAAATCTTCAATTTCACTGTGGAAACCTTGGGCCTTTTAAGAAAAGACATATCAGCAAGGTCAGTAGTCAATTCTAGCTTCAAAAGTAAAGTTTCTAAATGACCATATGAGGAATCTGTCCTGAGGGAGGAATTCTGGGCTGCTCTCAGACAGTTGTTCTGTTGCTGGATTAGCACTGGGCCAATATAGTTATTTATTTTTAGAATCTAGCAGAATCCTTCAGAGCTCATTGCAACATAGTATAGATGTCTGATAAAACCTGATGAATTGATTAACTAAGATACTGGTGAGAAGTGACCTGACTTGATCGAAGACATGACTGAATCTGTGAACAGGTTTATTATAGCAAAGATCTACTAGCTTTAATAGTAAATAAAGAGACTGTGCTACAAACTAACCCCAAAAGAAGCACTCAGTCCAAAGCTGTTCTTTCCAGACAAGTTCCAGCACAGAACTGATCTTCCTCTCAAGACACAGAGGATTCTACTCCAACTTGCTTTCCTTTCACTGACTTAGATGGGTTTTCTTCCGAATGTTATGTGCACAGTTCCACCTACCTAACTTGGACGATGCACATACCTGCTGCAGTGTCGACTGAAGCTGCTGCTCCCTCTCTTCTGTTTTTTGTAACACTGACTCCCAGCATTGGTTCATAGTTTCCAAACGGCTCCTTAAGCTGCTGGCATCATCTCCAGCACTAGATTCAAGAAGCTCATTGCCAGCTTTGTTGACTGTTTCCACTGTGGCTTGATGGGCCAAAACATCATTTTTTAGAACCTAAAAAATGTTGAACAACGTAATTTATCTCTACAGATATATCAAGCCTGGTTGTCTAACATACACACAACATCAAAAGGTTTCTGGTGGCAATATTTGGTCTTAAACCAATAGGTTTAGACATGAAAATGAAAATACTTACATGGTGCTTCGCAAGCTCAACTTCAATGACTTTTGGGTCACCACTTATTGGTTTCTGAGCATCTAACAACTCTTCAGTGTGAGTCAGCCAACTCATTAGTTCCTCTAAGGCATGTTGGAACTGGCCAAGGGCCAAGAGAGCACCTTCCAGCTTATGCTACTCAGAAAAAGATACAGGGAACACTTGTTAGGAAGTTAGAAAACAGTAGACAGTAGTTGATTTATGTACCCTACCATTTGCCTTACCTGTCTGTGGGCAATTTTCTCCCCCAGGTTCTCCCAGAGGTGTTTGAGTTCTGTCAATGGTTCTCGGATAATGTCTCTGTCTGTTTCATCAGTAGCTTTCTTTAACATCAGTTCACCCTGGTGATTGAGCTTCTCCATCTCAATCTGCTGTTGGTAAACTTCCACTTTGAATTCCTATCAAAGACATACTTAATGTTAATACGAAACCAACTCTTTAAAAACTAAAAAGAAGCAACTCTTCTCTAAAAGCCATTTCTAGGTACAAACCTTCATTTCATTTAACTGATCTTTAACAGTGTTGAGGTCAGTGCCGACAGGAGGCATGGTGCAGAGTTTAATCACAGTGTTATCTAGCCAGTCAAACATAGCCTAAAATAAAAATACAAATAAACAGTCAAAAGACAAAAACATAAGGCGTTGGGAGGGAATTAGCATTATTTCTGCTAATATAAGCAGAGATAATTTAAAGTAGCTTGCGCTATTTGTGTTTTTAGGTGGAGGAGGGGCAGAGGCAAAGGAAAATGTACCTTATTCCAATAATATGAGGATTTAAGAACCAAGTCAACATTACTGGGATAGTGTCCAAAACAAATTGCAAACTGGAAAAACTAAATGTGAATATAAGTTAGTATTTCTCATAGCGAGCTAGCAAGCTCATGATGTCCTAAAGTTACTGTGTCAAGCTGTGCTTCAAGATAACCTGGGTTAGGAACATCTAGCAAGCGATGACTTTCACAGTAAGGTCAGCTTCGCTGGATAGCCACCATGAGGATAAATGTCATGAGCATGGAATGACGAAAAATGTGGCAGGAAGAGCAAAAATTCAGTATGTCAGTACTTTTCTTACGAGAAGTGGGAAACTTTGGCTAGAAACACAGAAACAGCATGGTCTTAGGTTTGAGAATGTTGCAGTCCTGTAAAGGTGATCCAGTCTTATGTTGGATTCAGAAAATGACAAACAGAACACGGAACCCCTATTTCTGTGGTGGTCATCTCGTGGTCTCTCACCTGAAGAGTGTCTTGATACTGCACAGCGGCTTGCATAGCATCCTCAAGCTTTTCTAGCCTTTCTTTCCACGTTTTGTTTAAGTTCTCCCAGGCATTGTTCATCTAGGGGAAAAACAGTCAATCAGACTCTTCAATTAACACCATTCTTCAGTCTGAGCCCGCTAATGTTTCGTCTGAACTCTTTATCCATTTCTCCACACCTCATCGATGCTCTTCTTCACTTCGGGCTTCTCAGTTTCTCCACAGGCAAAAATCAAATCTGCTCCAAGGATTCGAATAAACTCCAATTCCTCGTGCAGACCATCTGTCTCTTCCTTAATAGTCTACATGTAAATGAACAGAATATAAGTCAAAACAGAAAGCAGAACAGAACTTTCCAAACTTTACAAATGTAATTTATAGCCCCTCATCAATGGCAGATGCTAAACAGAACTGTCAGTTTCACACAAGCCTTTCAATGGTTCTTAATATTTCACTTATCTAAATAGTGAAGCTTCAGACTCTGGTTATTTTTCATTTATATACACATAAAACAGTCTGGGAAAGGTGCAACGAGCTTCAATAATTTACCAAAGTTCACCCCTTCCTGCCTCCAAGCAGATTATAATCTATAGCCAGAAAGTTATTACAGAGAAATATATCAAGGGTAAAATAATACAGTACAAGTCGCAAATTTAAGAGCTGAGAGACTAGCATATTAGGAATGGTAGGCTATACAGTTTTGAATAAAATCAGTTCTGTGCCAAATTCTAAAAAGCGGTTCTTGGACTGGCAAGGACAGGGGTTGGGAGAGGGAGAATGGCTGAAACAAAAGAAAGACGTAAGAGAAATAATATCGAGACAGCTGTGGCTTGTGCCACATGGACAAAGTGAAGCAAGAGATGCATTTGGTAAAAACCAGCCTCCCTAAAAAGACTAGAAAAAGGTAGGTCAAAGTAACAATTATCATCACTGGATGATGAGTTTAGAATTTATTTTCTTTTCTACCTTCTATGTTTCTACATTTAAGAAAGTTACTCAAGAAATGAAATAATGTACACTGTAGTGAGGACTAAATTCAGAAATGAAAGCAAAACTGGATTTTCTAAGCATCTTCTGCTAATTTGAATTAAGTTTAAAATTGAAGGGGCTGGCCCCGTGGCCGAGTGGTTAAGTCCACGTGCTCCGCTGCAGGCGGCCCAGAGTTTCGTTGGTTCAAATCCTGGGCGCGGACATGGCACTGCTCATCAAACCATGCTGAGGCAGCGTCCCACATGCCACAACTAGAAGGGACCCACAACAAAGAATATACAACTATGTACTGGGGGGCTTTGGGGAGAAAAAGGAAAAAAATAAAATCTTAATAAATAAATAAATAAATAAAATTGAAGACAACTTCTTTTGCATGATGGAACCATTCTATATCACAATTGGTGGAAATTATATGAATCTGTAAGTGGTAAAACTTGACTGTAAAAAAAAAAAAAAGAAATTTACTATAATTAGAGCATATTTTTTTTCAAGTGGACAAAAATCCTATTAAATTAAAAAAACAAAACTTTTACAGCACTCGGCCTGGCTAAGCAGTTAACACAAAGTACGTGGATAAGCACTTTTCTAGGACAGACAGGTAGGAGAAGGCGTTTTGTTATTTTCTTACCTCAGCTGCCTCAACCTGTTGTTTGATGATAGATGGGTCAATGCCAGGGCTTTCCAAGTCATGGACGATGTCCTGGGTGTCTTTGATGGTGGTCAGGAGAGCTGCCATGTCATACCAGAACTTCTCTGCTAGTTCAAGGACATCAAGGAATTTAATTTCTCGCTCTTCAGCCCGAGCTTTGATGTCCTCCCAGAAGAATACCATTTGATCCAATTTGTCCTGGATTTCTGAGGGGTAAAGAGTGAATAAGACTTCTCTAAGTACCTGAAATCAGCCTCATGAGAAATTACATCTAATTCTCATGTTTTCACTGAAATTATCTTTTAAAAAAAGCTCTAAAAATTTATAACTGAAGGATAGTTTTCTTTTTTTTTTTTTTAAGATTTTATTTTTTTCCTTCTTCTCCCCAAAGCCCCCGGGTACATAGTTGTATATTAGTTGTGATAGTTTTCTACCTCAGCTTTATTATTATTATTATTTCCACATTTGCATTTTCCACTTATGTTGGTCTCCCACATAAAGAGATCACAGAAGTAGTCTGGAAATGAGTTATCATCTAATATAAAGGTACTGCTAAGTAACAAAACCCCTAACTTACAAAGGAGCTGAGATGAGACTTGATTTCCAGTGTTCTGTGTTGAACTTGCTATGTTTCCCATGGAAAGTGTTATAAAAGGTCGTTATGTTCTACCCACCATTGATACTACAGTTTACTCATATAAGGGGTTAAAGGAGCATTTGTTTCCTGGCCTGGGAATCTAACTACCAATTGTAATCTTGTTTCAATGGGGAGACGTGTTCTGAATTCTAAATGACTTCCAAATGACTTTGTAGAATACTCATTACTTGGGGACTGCCTTTACACTCAATGAAACACATCTGGCAGGATGCTGGAGGTAACCACAGCCTAGAATTTATTCTATTGATTTTCTTTAAAAAATAACTAGATTCATCAAGTACCTTTTGCAGCCAGATCCTTGTCAGCTCCCTGAGATCGCCCAATGAGCTCTTCTCCGCGGCGCTTCAGGGCCTCAAAAGAAGGCTGCAGTTTTTCTAGCTCCATGGTGGCACTCTTATTGTCGCTGATGCACTCTCTGATCTTGTCTACTTCAGCAGGGATCAGTGGTGGCATACGCAGGCGAGAGGAAAGATTCTCCAGAGTCTCCAACATGGGCTCAATTTTATCATGGAACTAAACAAACGGTAGATCATTAGCCATCACAGGAATACTTCATCACACTTCTGGGGAAAATGTTAGGGAATATGGCCAAGGCATAAATCTACTACTGCTTAGGATAACCTGTGCTCAGCCTAGCCTGTTGGCTGTCAAGTATTGGGTTTGGCTAAGAAACTGTTTGGGTATGGTACACCACAGCCGGCCCACCAGAAAAAGAAAGCACATGTTTATTTGAAAAATCAAAAAGATATTAAGTAATATACCAGAAATCAACTCAAATCATTAGTGCTGCCACAATACTTCCCCTATTCCAACCAACGTGACGAGAAAGGGACAAGACTATGAAACTGGTGAGTCTGTGTGTCAACATCTCAGATGACAGTTGCATGCAATACATTAGACAAGTTAGAAGCCCTCTACCAACTGTGTAAATGAATGGGAAACTCAACATGCTACATAACTTGGAGTTTAAAAGTATCATGGCATGCAATTTAACAACCCACCATAAGTAACAGTAAGAAAGGAAAATGCTAGCATGATGAAAGGTAATCAAAGAAGGCCAAATCTAATGTTATTCTAAAAGAACAATTATCTTTCCACTTTTCTGATACTTTGAATAACATGCCTAAAATTATAAAATTTTCATTTATAATCTGAAGCAGAGAGGGGAGAAAAGGGAGCAGAACAGATAAGTTTGGTCCCTAAAAAAGCTATCTAAAACCAACTCTGGATTCATTAATTAAAATAAGGCTTGTCAATTGTAAGTGTCCTACAGGAAATAACGTGGGATTTTCTTCCCATCACTCCTTCATTTCTAGATTCTGCCCCAAATGACACTGGCATAATAAACTGCACTAACAAAATTTATTCCACTAAAGTTAAGTGAAATTTCCTTATAGGTAATCCTCTCAATTCTCAGCTTCATAAGAACACCCTAATCCCAATGGGGGTGGGTACCTTACCTCTGTAATCTGTAATGGTGGGCGCAGTCAACACAACAATGAAATGTGACGATGTGGGGAAGACAGGAGCAGGCAGCAACAACACAAAGTAACACATTCCACAATGTGAGTGAGAGATGGGACGGAAGGTGGGGGGAAAAACTTGAGTAAGTACAAATATTAACCAAGAATATTGACTAAACATAGGAATAAAATACCCAGACATGACAAAAGTATCACTAATAGTAATATATTAGTTGAAAAGTATGTAGTTACATGCTTTAAACTCCACTGCTGGTGGTTCATGTTTCTCTTTGACTCTTACTTCTCCCCACTCAAGCATCTTGCTCTGAACTAGGAGCTAGCTGGTGGCCTCCTAAGGAAGAAAACTAATGTGCTGTCTTCTAAATCTTGAAAATAATAGGCATAATAGGAATCTGACTTTTTGTGAGGCATTTGTTGCTTCAAGAGGAATTTACCCAAAATCATCCCTGCTAAAGGATCATCACAATATAAAGTTTTCAAGGAAGCTGTCAACAGACAATATAAACCAGCCAAGATGCATTTTACCCTCCTTACAGGGTCAGTATACCAATGTTTCTTGGAATGAAAATGCAGAGAGGCAAAGGTTCCTAGTCTATTGATAATGTATCATCAGCATGCTGGTATAGACATTCCTGAGTGGAGGCATACCTGATACAGAAACCTCTTGCTTAAACTAAAGGACAGTTGAAGATTACATGAGTTTAAGACAACACACATACCTGAGCCGACTGGGAAACAGCCTCGTCCAGGGCCAGCGCCCGCTGGCGCACCTCCTCTTTTATTTGGGCATACATGTTTTCTGCTTTTTGGTATTTTTCTTCTACCATTTCCCCCTCTTCAGGGTTTAACTCCTTTAGTTGTGGGCCTATCTTCAGCAGCTTATCAATATGAGGTTTGTGTTCAGCAATGGATTCCCTTAATTGCTACGTAAAAAAACAAGGATTACAATAAAATGAGCTTTTTTATACCAGTTTATTTGCTTAAATACTTTGATCAGAGCTCACAGCAACTTTGAAAGGAACAAATCTAATTGCTAAAAACCAGCAAGTCCCAGCATCTCACCATTTATGGAAGGAAAAAAAACCCATCTAAGTCTTGGTCTCTTGAAACTACCTAATCCTGTTAATTTTAAAAAGCCAGTTCAGGCATCCTATCACCCAAGAAGTCTTCCCGGACACATCCTGACTCTCCCCCACAGTACAAATTTATTCCACCCTCTTCTGCACACATAAATGCTTCTACGTACCATACTGTAATTTACATGGTTTAATATCTGTTTCCCTCTCCAGACTGAGAGACACTAAGCAGGACAAGGTACAAATAAGCAACATTTCTGGTAATCCATCCACTCCTTGACTTTACTGCTGGCTACTTTCAGTTTACATCCTTCCATTTACAGGAATACAGAGATAGGAATAGGCACAAGCCATAAACCACAAATAAGATAAACATTAAAATATCTTTCACGGTAATACCTTTAACTGAAGTGTCTGCAAATTTCCCTTTCATCTTAACTATGTGCAGCGAACGCTCTCTGACATTCCTTCCTGGCTCTCACTCCAGTTGGGGCCTAACTAAATGGAAAGAACCCAACCCCCAACACCAACTCTAACAACACCCCACTGTCCCTGGAAAGATTTTAAATTCCCTTGAGGTTTACTTAGTTTTTCACTTCTGTAACACCCAGGCTTCTGACATCTTCATCTTATTCTTTGACTCACATTAAGGACAAAGGAAATAATTCAGATATGTATTTTTATGGTGCAAAGAAATTCTAACTGATAAAGAATTAACTTCATAACATAAACTTACACCTGGTAGGCACCAATAAATGTGTTGTTTTTGAATAAATTGTGAAGCCCATGTTCAGTTCTGCGATTAAACAAAACTTGGCAGGCTCCTTACCCTCATTTCCTCTTGCTGCTGCCTGAGCTGCTCATGATCAATAGCTGGAGGAGGTAATTGTGCTATTAGCGCTCGAGTTTCTTCAATCCAGGGGCTGAGCTCTTCATGAGTTTCCCAAAACTGGTTCACCAAGACCTGCGCCCGTTCTAGGCGGGCATAACGCTCGGAATTGAGCAGACTAATGGCTTCATATTGCTGTATTAGAGACTCTGTCTTTTCCTATGAACAACAATAAAAAGTGTAAATATTATTACTTCTTTTAAGAAAAAATGTACATTAAAAAGCCTAAAGGAACACACACTAAAATGTTAAAAAAATGGGTTAATCTAGTAAGATTACAAGTGATTTTTATTTTATCTGAATTTTCTAATTTTCCTATCAAAGTATTATTTCTAGAATTTTTTAAATATTAAAGTAGTTTCAAAGATAGTAAAACAGACAAGCACAACACAGCAAAATTAACCTTTTAGTGATGACACACAACTTTAGATACAGCATTATTACAATGGGTTAGTTTAAGACTGAACATCTCAGGGGCTATGATAGTCTTTGTCCGTCAATTTTCACTGGTCTTTTTTCCTCATAAAAAAGTTTCCACAAACTTGGCATTTATGTTTCATATGTTTAGGGTGAATAGCTTAATCAATTTATGAAGATTTCTGAGGAAACAGTGGCTAACCATACCCTTTACAAAAAACAAATAAAACTGGTCTACAAACTAACTCCCTTGGCCAACCCTTTTAGAAATGGGTATGATCTTTTAGAAGGGTCTGAACAAGGAATTAATATCTGCACATGGTTCTGAAAAATCTATCACAGATACCTGGAAAGGTAACTCAAAGATCACTCCTTATGGACTGAAGGTAAGTAGCAATTCCTATTATAAAGAAGATGGATTTGCAATATATTTCACATTATGCAATATGACTGTTTAGATATTTGTGAACACAGGGTTAGGAGCCTGAATTCTCCAGAACATCAAGTTGGACCTTAATACCACTATCAGTAATAGAGGGGGAAAAAATCTTAAACTATCATTTTCTTTTCTTTTCTTTTTATTTTTTTTAGGAAGATTAGCCCTGAGCCAACTGCTGCCCATCCTCCTCTTTTTGCTGAGGAAGGCCGGCCCTGAGCTAACATCCATGCCCATCTTCCTCAACTTTATATGTGGGATGCCTACCACAGCATGGCGTGCCCAGCGGTGCCATGTCCGCACCTGGGATCTGAACTGGCAAACCCCGGGCCACCAAGTGGAACATGTGCATTTAACCACTGCGCCACTGGGCCAGCCCCTCTTTTTTTTTTTTTTAAAGATTTTACTTTTCCTTTTTCTCCCCAGAGCCCCTGGGTACATAGCTGCATATTTTTTAGTTGTGGGTCCTTCTAGTTGTGGCATGTGGGATCCTGCCTCAGCATGGCCTAGATGAGCAGTGCCATGTCCATGCCCAGGATCCACACTGGCGAAACCCTGGGCCGCCGAAGTGAAGCGTGTGAACTTAACCACTCAACCACAGGGCTGGCCCCCTAAACTATCATTTTCAATTGTACTTCTGATTCACCATGATCAAGACAAGAAATGGTGAATAAATAAATGTAATTCACCTGTAATACAGCTTTTTGCTCCTCCCCACACGTGCCAAAGATTTCACCACGATGACTGAAGAGTTCATCCATTGAATCTTTGTGTCGAATGATGTCAATGGAGAAAGCCTTTGAAAAGGAAAATATAGTTAAGAAGTAAAAGGCCCCCAAGCATGTGTTAGTGAAAAGCTACACACAACCTATGAAAAATTCCTTGCTTTAATAAAGCCACATCAAAAATTGTTCTGACAGAGTCTGACACTTTGCTTATCCACACATCTTCAATGCTTATCTTTTAGTACCTTACAAAATACCTTCTCTCCTAAAAATCATCCAGAAAATTGCTAACTGTTCTTTCCTGGATTAAAGAGCCTTTTTCTCCCTTTTCACAAAGCAAAAAATCTCTTAATCTCTTTCTTATCCTAACCAAATATTTATAAAATTAATCTCTATCCACCATCATGACATTGAATCATCCCACTTGACTTGGGATAGCCAGAAACTCTCTCCTAGTCACTCTAAGCTACAGATGATTACACTTGCTCAGGGCACAGTGGACACATCAGTGTTATACTCACCTTCTGTACTTGCAGCTGAGCTGTGGTCTGGTCCTGTTCCAGGCGAATTGGACCCAGGGCCATCAGTTTCCGTTTTGTTTCAGCAACCCAAGCTAGTTCTGCATCAGCAGCTTGCTCATACTAATAGACATATTGAAGAAAAGGAACAAATTACATAGAGCCAAGGTCCTCCTTCTCAGAATTATAATTTATTCAACACAGACCTGGATCTTCAGTAATACAGTTTATATCTCACTAAGTAAAGCCCAAACTGGGGAGAATTTCATTAAATCACAAATCAAGATGTAGACAATTTAGAACTGATTTTATACCTCAACAAATATGAGTTGATCCTATTTCAACTTCTTCAGAAAGAAGTTCCAGAACCCAATTAGTGGTCCAACAGCTAGAAACAACAATGGAAACTGACACTCTCAAAAAGAAGTATACCTCTAATCAGAGTGCTTTTAGGAGACTGTGTTCTCTTCCTGTTAATCCTCTTTCTTACCCATAGACTGAACAATAGTTTTAGTCATATGTTTAAATATAAACATAACATGGCAGCAGACAGCTGAGTCAACTTAACTTCGAAATACTTACTCAGCTCAAGAAGTGTACGACCCCACGAGAACACCAAACCTTTCAACAGTTAGGCAATAACAAAGGAAAACCAAGAACATGTTGTGCTGTTCATGTGACTGCTGTTTGATGAGGGTCCCTCAATCGTTTATCTCTTCCTATTCAACTCTGCCAACCTACGCTAATATTTAAGGAGAAAAGTAAGTTTCTCCTAAGCACGATAAATTTCATACTGAAATACCCGGCCAAGACTAGGGACATCAATGAAAACATATTGGGGATGCACTTGGAGTTAGAGCAAACTTTTGTGTGGTTTACAAAGCATTTGCTTATCACTATGAAGTCAAGGAGGCTTTTTGTATTAATTTATTTCCTGCACCATGGCACATTAATAGGTGCATATCCAGATACAAAGAAAAACAAATAACTTTCCAGAAAGCAGCAAGGAAAAAAGATCGAGGGAAATATGACACCTGTGTTTACTGGGAGGGTTTTATTTTGGATGGCTCTGCTATTTCGGTTAGCATATTTGATAGCAATTATAGTTGCTGGTTCCTTCCCCTCTTCCATCTAATGCTAAAACAGTTGATTATGTCAAACTAAGATTGTGATACATTTAGCCCTTTTGGGTCTAGATATCATCTACTCTCATCACCATCTGCCTCTTAGAGGGCATTAGCTAAGAAGAGGGCTCATAAAGATTCTTCTCCAAGTTCTCTACTCACAAAGATCAAGTATTTTGAGTCAAACTAGATCCATCCTCACATACCTTTACCCAATCACTTCTTACCACTGAAATAATATGTTGTATCAGATTTAACTTGATCTCATTACTCCTATTTCTGAGCCTGTATTTATGTGGGACATAGTTTTGTACCTCACACATATACCCCTACTGCCTAAAACATTAAAGCAGGAGTATTATAAACATTACCTGTTGTGATCTCTGAATAGCAGCATCAATTTCATCCACCCTTTGTCCAATAGTGTCACTGACCAGCTTGTACTGCTCGTTGGCATCGGACACAAGTTTATCCAGCCCTTCTCTGGCTCTCCAGGGCACCAGCTCTAAGAGAGCACGGCTCACTTCATTCACTGTGTCCAACACCAGCCTGTGCTCCATGACCTCCTTCTTCAATTCCTAAGGAGGGGAAAAAAGTTTTCAGGCCATACCTTGCTAAATTAAGCACATTAGCAGCTGTGCGGGGTGAAAAGTGCTATCTCTACCACACATCCCAGCAGGGCTCTGACCTCCTTCCTTGACTTATTTTTTTCTTGTCTCAGATTTTTCAATCATTCCACAGCCTGACTTTAGGCTTAGCTGCTGCTTAGAACTGTGAGTCTTGACCCAGACTGTCTCTGGGTAAAACAAATAGTGCTGCTTTCTTTTTTCTCTGTACTTCAATAGAAATGATAAATAATGCTTTAAACCATAGGCATTTAACTCAACAAGCACCTGCACAGTATTTCTGTACATTGAGAACTACACTAGATCCTACAGAGAATCAAACATAACCATGAAGCACTCTTTAGAGAATGAATCGTGAAAGCAAATGCTAAAATGTTACACACGAAGCAAACTTCCTAGGGATTGGGATTCAATCTTTTTTCTTCTTCAGCCCATAACAGGTGGTCTTATTTGGGCCGGCTTTATGTAAAATCTTATTGTCCACGAGTAAACAAGAAAGGAGGTAGGCAGAAATTTTTGGTTCAAATTTAAGGTAAAGCTAGTTGGTGATGAAACTTAAAAATCTGAACCTAAAGATTCTGACTCAAAGGAAAACTTTTTTCCATTTACAGTGTGAAATGACAGCTCACCTTCTGTCTTTGCTGAAACTGGGGTATTTGCTCTCCTGTGGGAGACTGTCCTCCACTGGCTGCCAGTTCCTCCTCCACCTCCCTCAGCCACCCGGTCAGTTCCTCATAAGTAGACTGGAACTTGGTGGCCAGCTGCCGGGCTTGCTCTAAAGTTCTGAGGGCCTTGGAGCTAGTGACTGTGATGTCTGCATAGCGAGTCTTTATTCCGTCCAGCTTCTCTTGGATAAGCAATACTTCTTCACCTGTGGGAGACAGCACACAATTATTCATATTTAAGAGGACACGAGGGAGTCCCTTTCTGGGTATGAGGAAGTCCCTTTAATCCCCCTTTCTTCAAATCAGAGCTTCAATTTTATACAGGAGCTCTCTCTATCATAGTGATTTCACCTAGCGTCTCACACTAAAGGAGGTGGGAAATAAATCTTTCAAGTGATAAAAGAAGCCACTTCTGAGATTATTAAGATCTGACTTGGTCTGCAGGTGTTTCTAGATGTTCCCAGTACCTTTCAGTGAATGCTGGCATTTGACATATTGAAGGGCAGGGGGAGTTATCATCTATAATCAGATGTGAGACAACAAAGCTTCTAGTTTTTAAAAGATTTAACAGGAAACAGAAACCCAGGCAGCCAGCTTCCCAGGAGCACGTGGTAATAAAATCAGTGAATAGTAACCTCCTACATACAAAGCGAAGTGGCCAGTGCAGGGTGTTTACTTCTCTGGATATGCGATTGTCTGTTGACCATAGAGGTGCTAAAAGATGCACTTTTCAAAGTACCTGTGGTTTGTTTTAGAAGAGCCTGACCATTTTTAATAGCTTGATCTACATTCTTCTTTCTATTAACAATTTCTTCATTTAAAGCCTGAAAGGAAAGAATACCATTAATCCTAAAACTATGGCACAAGAAAGGGAAAGAAATGAGAGACCTTTAAGAGGCCAAATTTAAAGAGATGAATACTACTTTACTTTAAAAGTCAGGTATTTGATTCCTGCATTATCCCTTGTTGTCCCATTAATTACTCAAAATAATTAAATCAGATACTTATAGGTGAGCTTTCCTTCGTAGTGGATGACAAGAGATTGAGGATTAAATTAGCTTTACCAATCTACTGGTATCTAACCTGAACCCAAGGTAGAAGTAGAATTCAGCAAAAAGTCTACTATTTCCACAACAAAGAATCAGACGGAGAGTTCAAGAAGAAAGCAAGAACAGGCTAAGTTAGGATCCCAGTAACAACTCTTAATATTTGAAGTCAATGAAGCAGAAGAATCTTAGATTATTAAAAATAAAAACTGCTTTGCCTATTTTTACCATCCCCAAAGAAATTTAATAAAAATGGCAAATTTTTCTTTCTACTAAGATGACACAGAATGCCTGGAATTTGAACATATATCTAGAAATATTTTAAAAGTTACAGCTATATTACCAAACCCTGGGCAGTATTTAGGTAATCTGGCTTTGTTAAAGTACATTCTCTCTCATACAATCGCTTAAATGGAAACTGAGTAATATAGTACCTAATGATGTAAAACAGGAGGTGGAATTGAGATGGCCCCTGACTATACTCTGGATCATCTTCTAGAATTATTGATTCAGTTTGTTAAATACAAGTATTCCCACGGACTCATCAAAAAACAGTTTAGTCCTTAGCAACAAGTCTATAAATACGAACTTGTATATAAAGTTGAAATGTTTGAAATTAAAAAGAAAAAGAAGTGAAAAGAAACATAAATCAAAATTACAAAATAATTTAGTAACATAACCAGTAAGAATGGAAAACATGAATACCAGGTGATCAGCATGCTGTTTCTGCAGGACATCCTGTCTGTAATCCTTTACGAACACTGAACTGAGCTTGTCCTCAACCTCAGCCAGCCAGTTGAGCACCTCCACCTCATCCTCCCCGAAAAGCCTAGCGTTAGACAGTGCTTGTTCAAGCAGGGCTGCTTTCCGACAGCACCGGTCTTGAATCTCACAGTATCGGGCCTGCAATGAGTCTAGCTTTTCTGAGAGCACGCCCTGTTCTGCAGAGCATGTCAGGGAGGAGAGGGACTGCCCAATTTTGACTGCCTGGTGCACATCTGTTGCATGGCTTTCTATTTCTTCCTCCAGAGCCTGGAAATTCAGATGGAAAAGTGAATAACAGAAACAAAATAAATGAAAAGTAAACATAAAACAATGAATAACAAATGATCTAATGAATTAAATAATAATATAAAAAGTTCACCTACTGAAAGGCAAACATAATATAAAAATTGAGAACAAAAGCTTTTTTTTGATGGTAGCCTATTAGTTGATTTCTATTTTTACTTCAAGGATGTGAATATTCCAATTAATAATTTGACCATATTTTAAATTAAACTTACAAAACCCCACAAAACACATTTTCTAGAACACTGCAGGCGGTTTTCTAATTTCTAGACTTTCCAATTCCAGTTGTGTGTTTCCATCTACCGTAACTACTTCCTACCTTGTGCCGAATGATCTGCTGCTGTATTTTGGCAGTCTGAGTGCCAACAGGTTCTGAGTTAGCGAGCTTTTTCTCTGTGACAGATAAGAAGTCAGAAATAGGCTCAGCTGTCTCATGAAATTGTTTGGCCAGAACCAGGATATCTTCCAGCTGTTTTTGCCTACACAAATATATAGAACAAGCTGCTCAGGCAAAAAGTCACATTAAGTCTGATAACAGTACTATATTCAGTAAAGGACCCATCTTTACTAGATACATTTTAAACTTCAATAGTAAACAGAACACACTTTACTGGTTTTTTTTTTAAAGATTTTATTTTTTCCTTTTTCTCCCAAAGCCCCCTGGTACATAGTTGTATATTTTAGTTGTGGGTCCGTCTAGTTGTGGCATGTGGGATGCCACCTCAGTGTGGCCTGATGAGCGGTGCCATGTCGGCACCCAGGATCCGAACCGGCAAAACCCTGGGCCGCCGAAGCAGAGCTCAGGAACTTAACCATTCGGCCATGGGGCTGGCCCCCACTTTACTGTTGTAAAGGTAGTCACAAGCATTGCTTTATTTTGATTCTGTCGTAACCTTGGCAAGGTAGGCAGAATAAAGATCCCACTATTACAAAAGAGCAGACAGACCCTGAAGGGTTAAAGAAAGATTTGTCCAAGTCACTCAGTGAGTAGCCATAATACAATGAAAACCAGAATCAGACTTTCCAAAGCTCTTTTTCCTATGGAAAGTAGCACCTGCACCATCTGAACACATGACCAAAATAAAGTTTAAAAGAGTCAAAAAAAAATCACCGGTCTTCATTTCTGTCACTGCTACCTTCATTTGTGAGGCAAGAGCAGAGAACATTTGAAGAGCAAAGGCAGACTATGAACTAAAAGTCTCTTCCTATCTCCCCAAATCCAGTCAGGTTTCTAGTAATTTCAAGTCCAGCCATAACTTTGAATCCAGATTAAGGCAAAAAATGATCTCAGACTAAGCTGAATTTGCAAACACAAATGGCAGCCCAAAGAACTACAGACTTTATAGCTCACTTGGAATCTTAAATCTTATTTAATATAACATCCACACTGAGCTTGGATTTCAAGCACCCGATAGATTAAAAGTAGCAAATTACAAAAGGAAAAAGAAGCCTGAATGTTGGAGGCAGCCTGCTAAAAGAGATAGAAAACAACCCCAGAACTGTATTAGCATAAAGATGAATTTTATTATTGAAATTAATAATGAAAGGCCATAATGATGACTTTCAGTCATTAAGAACAGACTAAATGCAATGTCATTTCAAAAGGCCTGGGGGTATATGATATACTTTAGTTCAGCAAACCTTTACTGAACACATACTTCGTGCCAGGTCCTACGCTGGGTACCCTGGACAAACTAATTTTAATAAGAAATGATTTAAATATAAAGATTTGCCATTTTAATTATCTGGAAATTCAATTAAGTTTAAATAGAAAGAAAAAAGTATTTCTAGATGCTATTTTTAAATGTCAATGTAAAGTATAGAATTTCCTTTCTTAGTTTATGCCAGCTTTCAAAATACATCTTTAATTAAGACAACTAAGACATATAATCTTAAAGATTATTAAACTAAAATTTCATTTAAAAAAAGTGCCACTAATTTCTATGTCTTTCTGCCTCATCTCTGATTTTGGAATCTGAAAGTCTGAAGAACTCAATGTAATAGGATTTGGGGTAGCAAAGAGAAACGCTAAAATAATTTAGAGGCATCAAAAATCCAACATTAAAGAATTGAAATAAAAGATTTTTGGATATAAAAATGAAGCTGCTCTTGGTATTTCTCTTTAAAATATTGGCCCAGAAGCTTTGTTAGACTAAGAGGATGGAAGCAGGTAGGGTAGAAGGAAAGAATCATAAAAAGATACTTTAGAAACAGATCCTGACTTTAACGACCTTATGGACCTGGGAGATAAGTACATAAAATAATGACTATAATACAAGGTACAGATAGCTATGGCAGTTAAGAGGAAGGTGAAGTTATTCTATGCTTGGGGAATAAAGAAAACCTTCATAGAAGAATTAGGAAACTGATAGAAGATACTGAAGAATAGAATATGGCTTACTTTACCTATAATACAAGGAGTGAAAAGAATATTGGAAACTAAGAAAGGTAGGTTAGGGCCAGATGGTAGAGGGCTTTGAATGTTGAGTTAAAGGGCTTAGATTTTATTTTATAGGCCACAGGGAGTCATTAAATGTTTCTGAGCACACAAAGAGGAGAAGGCTGAGGGTAAGTGGCAGTAGAGTGATAAGTGATTAGTTAGCTAGGAAGCTACCTCAGGTGAGTCACCTCCTGTGAACTAGTCCAGGTGAGAGCTGGTAAGTCATGAACAGAGGTAGGTGAGGGGGAATCAGAGGAACGGATGGATAGGAAAGACACTGTAGAAGTAAAATGGACAGAATTTAGCATCCTGATAGATGTGGGATACAAAGCAGGGGGGAAGGTAAAAATGGGGTTGAGGTTTTAAGCCTAAGTAACTGGAAGGTTAATGGTACTGTTGGTGGAAATGGACACAGAGAGAGAGAAGATAAAAAGTGCAATTTGGAAATAAAAAGTTGAACTCTTTCATTTTGGGTACTAACATGGGTAGGCAATACTTGGTAACTCAGATAAGAAATAAGCAAGCCATGGGCAGGTGGGAGTAAAGAGACTGAAGAGGGAGTTGTTTGAAGACTGCTGTTGGCTACCTAGAAAACCGAAAGGATGCAATAATACACAATCAACTCTACTACGCTCATGCTAATTTCTGATTAGCTGGCATTTATTCTCAAAACTGGGGACAGTATAATCCCAGAGTAAAGACATTCGTGTGACTTATTAAGCTCAAATGTCATTGGGGTAACTTATAGCTATGGAAAGAGAAAGTACTTCCTTGGAGGAGGAGGCCTGACTTTTGGCCATTTATTGAAGAAAGTCTACACTTTTGAATGTCCGTATATTGAACAGAACCACAGACTAACTCCTAGATGCAAAAACATCTAATATTAGGACAAGCTAACAGAAAAGAAATATGATAAATTTCAGGTCCAAGGATCAAAAGCATTATTTATAAATATGAAAGGAAAAAAATCTGCTTTAAAAATTCAGAAAATAACTTGGCTGGATTGTAGGAGTCTGCGTCTGTCATACTGCAGCAGAACAACAATGCAGAGCAATGAATCTTCCAGTTCTCAGAAATTTATGGAGTACCTGAGGCTCATTTCCTGAGAATTATTATGGTTATGAGGATCATCTCTAAAAACTTATCCCTCTCCAAGATAAAAGCCATTAAATACCTTCCAAAGCTCCTGTATGAATCATCCAGGAGCTTTTAGAGCACCTCGGTGATAGCAAGTCCAAAATAGGACGAAACAAGCATTCTCTGACCCATGCCTCAAAAACCCTTTGGCCTTACCTGGCCGCTGCCTTGCTGAGCAGTCCAGTCCATCTACTTTCAAGACTCTCCAACTGTCCAGTAATTTTCTCTCTATCAGCCAGCTCAGCTGACTGGGCTATTCTGCCTCCTTCTGCTTGAAGCATCTCTACTGTGGCCTTTCGATCATCTAAGAGCCGCTGGAGCAACTAGTGAATACACGGTTAAAGAGAATGAAAAGTGGTAACACGGGGTCACTTTAAAATCTGAAATGAGGAAGAAAAAACCCAACAAAAAAATCCAAATAACCCCACCCTGCCAAACCCTAAGTTTAACTGAAGTATTTTTTTCATCCTGAGGCAAAAACATGAGACACAGCATAGTTCCTACCACCCACATAAACTTTTCATCCACTTAAGTTTTTAAATGGAGCAGTGACTGTCATTATGTGACTTACAGGGAACTTACTTTGAACCAAGAGAAAAATGCACTGAAATGGAAATTAAGCCAACAAAAAATATAGACAGAACCGTATACATGATATACAACATTATTTAGAATATTGCTGACCCTGAAAACACCATAAATCTCTTAAGATAAAAGCTGTGACTGAAATACTGAAATAGGATTGTTCAGTCCAATATAAGCCACAGTAAATCAGTAGATTAAAGTAAGATGATGAAAATCAATTTCCACCTTTCTTTTCAGGATCACACAAAGTAGGTTAGGATTCTACTGAAACTCCTGAATATGCTCCTTAAACTGTAAGCAAATACGTTGTCTGCCACTCCCTACGGCTGTTACAGTTCACTGTCCCAACATTCTCACTCACCTTCTGTTCTTGGATCTGTGCTTTCACCACTTTATACTCAGCAGATGGAGGTTTCTGATTGGCTATGAGCTCCTCAGTGTCTGCCAACCAGCTGAGCAATGGCTCCAAGGCATCTTGAAACTTCCCACAATGCAACAAAGCCTCCTGCAGTTGTGCAATTCTTTGTGCAACCTGTATCACAGACACAGAGGCTCATTTTGAGAAATGAGAGAGCTTTTTAAATTTCTACTGACCCCTCTTCCCAACTACAGAATGCAACTGGTAAATTTTTATTTGCATTCAGGTTCCAGGGCAAACTTAGATTTAGATCTCTCTTCTCTATACCCTCTGTTCCCAGGACACTCTTAACCCTCATCGCCACTCACTTTTTTATTCAGCGTGTTCCATCGAGCATTGATCTCTTCCATGTCATGTTCCAAACCTTGCACATCACAGTTTTTTCCAGCACTCTGAATCAATCCCTGGCCAATTCCATTCACCTGCTGTAATTTTATCTGAAGAGGATCCACTTGTTCTTTCTGAAACATCTAGATAATTGCAAGGCAAAGATGATTTAATCTAAAGGCAGTAAGACCCTCTACACCACACAGTGTGGAGTTATTCTTGGGAGATTTATGATTTAATGAAGGAGGGCCAGGGATAAAAAGAGAAAACAAGTCATTTGCACAGGGAACTATCAAGGAAACATGTAGTTTCATACTTCAATACATCCCTCCTATGGACAAGTAATTACAGAGAGTTATGGTACCACTTAGGTCTTTAACCCAGTGACTCACGGTTTCTGTTTTTTGCTTTTGTTTTTAATCTGCTTGCTTAATTTTTAATGCAAAAAGCTATAGAGAATAGAGAAGCATCAACCTCAAGATATCATAAAAGTGATGTATATCAATTCTAAAAGGGAAGAATGATATCAATTGACTAGCATTTAAGATTAAAAATACCTTGGGGAATAGCTTTAACTGACCACTGATATATGCAATGCTCTTCTCTGACTAGGGCTAATAATTCAATTAGCCAAAATATATTAACGGTGTGAAAAATGCCAACCTCATAACTTAATCCCCCTGTGGCCATTTAACTCCATTCTGTTCCAGGGCCACAGACCACACACAGCCAATAATCCCGAAACAGTATTCCTCTGATTACAGAGGGAAACAAGCCAATAATACTGGGAAACGTCCTTCACAACTTCAGACACATACTCTGAGTAAGATGCAGATATACATGAAATATTTTTAAAATAATGATACTGTATATCCATGTTCACCGTGAAACAATGGAATTTTAAAACAATGTGAACAAGTGTAACGAGCAATATGCATATTTTTTTCTACTACAGTTAAGCTCCATTATGACTCAGAAATTGCTAGAAGGAAACAAAGAGAAGAAAATGGCACTTTTGCCACTCTAATGGTATTAGGGAAAGAATAAAATAAATATTTGTCCCTAAGATCAGATTTCTCTCAATGTTCAGAGGATAAAATCAGCTATATTCCACTAGTCTGGGTCTACTTCTATTCTTTTTTCTTCCACAAAAAGTTCCTTCAGTTTCAGTGAGACAGGTGAGTCATTAAAAGTCAAAGGATGACAGAAAGAGGAAGAGGACAAAAATAAATGTACAAGAAAATTGTAAGTTTGGGTAAGACTAATTTTGGTTCACATGAAACCACAGATCACACTAGGATTAGGAAACTGATTCTAGAAAGAATGGTCTATGGCTAGATAAGTGAGTCACTAGGAAGGAAAACCCCAGGAAACTCTGAAATAGGATGGTTACAAAGGTAATTACCAGTGGGCTTCATTTTATACCGTAATTTGATTACACTATATTTTGTTAGGCAACACTACAAGGCAGTTCTGCTAAAAATGACTGTTTTTCCAACAACATAGTTCCCAGAAAAAGCAAGTGCTATGATTCCATTTTGTAGTAAAGATGTTTTCACTGTAGAAAATCAGAGCAGAGGGAAAAAAAACAATCCCCATGTTTTAAGCTGCCTGGGTGGTGGGGTGGGGGTTGGAGAGGCAAAGCAGCAGAAAGCCAAAGGTACAGAGGGATGACGTCAAAACCACACAGAAGGGCCTCCTTTTACCCAATAATCAAATCCTGTCTCATACTCTGACATTTAAATTCTGTGCTGTCCAACATGGTGGCCAGCAGCTACATGTGGCTATTTAAATTAACTAAAAATTCAGTTCCTCAGTCACACTAGCCACATTTCATGTGGTCAATAGCCAAATGTGGCTAGTGCTTACTGTACTGGGTAGCACAGACGAATATCTCCATCTTGGCAAGAAGCCCTACGGATAGAGATGTAAACGAAACAGAAGAAAAATATATTTAAATAGTTTAATAATCTCTTTCACATAATAGAGCTGATTCTTTTTAAAAAATTTGGGGCTGGCCTGGTGGCGTAGTGGTTGAGTTTGCGTACTCCACTTTGGTGGTCCAGGGTTCACCGGTTCAGATCCTAGGTATGGACCTAGCACTGTTCATCAAGCCATCCCACATAAAATGGAGGAAGATTGGCAGAGATGTTAGCTCAACGACAATCTTCCTCAAGCAAAAAGAGAAAGATTGGAAACAGACGTTAGCTCTGGGCCAATCTTCCCCACGCAGGGAAAAATAAAAAGGATTTACTTTTCTTATGAACATTTCCGGCAGGAGCATTAGAGATTCCTTCGTTTCCCACCTCTGCTCTATGGATTAAGTTGACAGGGAATGGGTATTTGCCTCATCTTTTTTCAGAAGTTTAAAAATGTATGAAAACATCTCTAAATAAATACTAACTAAATATTTATTCTGAACACAAGTGAAGAGAATGTTAAAGAAAGTAAATTTGAAAACACTTGTTCCCTTCTCTCAACTCCCAAATAAAGCTGTTTTGAAAAACCAGCACTTTTACATACATTAAAATTCCTACTCCTTAGTATTTCAATGGGACTGTGCCATGTTATTAACTAACCAGTGCTGGCAGACATTTTCCAGAGCGGAACACTAGTAAAATTATTGCAAGGCTGTAAGATGCAACAGAGACATAAAACAGAAAATTTCCCAAAGAACTTAGAACACTTTTATCTTTGGTAATACCACATTTGCCCAGTTTTCTTCCTGACTGGTCTTTTTTTTGAGGTCCGTTGCTCTCTTTCTCTTCTGGACCTCCAAATGTTAGTCTTTGGGGGTGGAGATAAGGGCAGGATGTCATCATGGGCCCTCTTCTCATTCTATACTCTCTTCTAGGCAATTCCGTCCATTCCTATGGCTTTAAATATTAACCATGACAAATGCTTATGACTCTAAAATTTGTGTGTGTGTATTATATATATATATATATATCTCCTCTGAGTCTCAAATCTATATATCCAACTGCTTTCTTAATACTGCCACACAAATGAATCACAGGCATCTCAAACCTAACCATTCCAAAACTGAACAGTACCTCCTACTTTCCTCTCCCCCAAAATCTGTTCTTCCCTAAATCAACAATTTACTACCACTCCCCGCGCCCACCATTCACTCAAGTTGTACAAGGGAAGCTGGAAGCCATTCTTGATGACTCCCCCTCCCTCCCTCCCAACATGAAAGCCATTATCAGGTCTTGTTGATTCTACTTCCAAAATATATCTTGAATTCATCCAATTGTCTTCAAATCCACTGACATCTTCCTAGTCCAAGCCACCTGGACAATAGCAGTAACCTAGCAGGCCTCTCTACTCTATCCTTGATCCTCTATAATCCATTCTATACATAGTAGCCAGTGTGATTTTTTAAAAAATTTGCAAGCCATTCAGTGTTTTCCGTATTTCATGCCAATTATCATAATACAAATCACTGAAATATAAGACAAAAGAAATCAGAGATTTATAAACTCCCAAAACACTGAGAATGGTTACTGTCAGTGTGGAATGGTTTTCCCTATCCTTAAGCCAATAGCAATCTTTAAAAAATGTAAATAAAATAATTTCACTCCTGTAGTTAAAAATCTTTCGATAGCTTTTCACAGCTTTTAAGGCACAGATCCTTTCAAGGCCTTCTTTCTCAGTCCCTGCACTGCCTGACCCCTTCCTACCTCTCCAGATTTACTTCAAGATACTCTTTTGAAACCCTTGCTTGCTGTGGTCTAGCCACTTGTCCTTCTTTTAGTTCTAACGTGCCAAGCTCTTCCCAGCTCCCATTTTCTTTGTCTGGAATTTTCTTCCCTCTGACTCTTTGCCTAAGTAACTTCTATTTATCCTTCAGGTTTTAGTTTTAAAAAAGCCTTACCCTGGCACCACAATTGAAATTAAATACCCCTATTATTTCTTATCATAGCCTTTATTTTTCACTCAAAGCATTTGCCACAATTTGTAACTACATATTTATGTCATTTTTGCTTAATGTCTGCCTCCCTCACTATAGTATAAGTTCCCCATGGGCAGGGACCATGGCGATTCTATTCACTGCAGGAGCCTCAGTACTGGCACAGAGTAGGTGTGCAACAAATATTTATCCAGTGAACGAACAAATCCTTGTATAGAAAAGGTGTTAAGGAAAGCAAACAAATCCATAAGAGTGCTGCTGATCAGCTGAGCATTCAAATACTGAACTGAGATTGCGGGGCTCCTCAATTTTTGCTTAAAAAGACCTTCTTTGCAAATTTTAATTTTATAGAATCCTTATTTTATAAAAAAGATTTTTTCTTCCATTGAACCAGTTGACTGGAAACAAGACCATGAAGTCTATAAATGAGAAGAGGGTTTAAATAACCACAGATTGCTCTCAGTGGGCCCAGAATCCCACTATAGAAATATGGGGCTGGCGCCGTGGCCTAGTGGTTAAGTTCAGCACACTCCACTTCAGCAGCCTGGGTTCAGATCCCAGGCACAGACCTACACCACTTGTCAGCCACGCTGTGGCAGCGACCCACATATAAAATAGAGGAAGACTGGCACAGATGTTAGTTAGCTCAGGGCTAATCTTGCTCAAGGAAAAAGAAAAAAAAAAGATAACAAACAAGTTCTGGCATTTTGCTGCTTCTACCAAACTCTCTTGTTATTGTTGTTAGAATATTTTATTTCTATTTCTCCTATCTATTTTAACCACATATACATGTGTACATTTGTACACACGTACACGTACACACAGAGGCTCTAAGCTAAATCACATTCTGGGTATAATGAACTGCCGAGTTCTAACTGTCTATGTATAAAAATGACACTTCAAATGCTTCTAAGGAACTCTTTTGGAAGAAATGAAATCCATACATCTCTCATCTTGGAAAACCTTTTTCTCAATAATATTTCACCAATTTAGCTAAGTCTGTATACTCATATCACCTCAATAATGCTATTTGTTTTGTTTCAATAAATATTTTCAAAATAGCCTCTCTACATTCTTATTGGTTAACAGTCCTGGCTGAGGCTATGGCTTAGATTTCCCCTTTTGTACACAAATGTAGGGATCTGCTTGCTTCCAGATATTCCATAAAGTAACCACATTTCAAAGATGATGGACAATCTTGCAGCTGGGCTACTATTTCCTTCTCCTGTC